TGCTTGTGACATTTGCCTCTGAGATGGCCCTTCTTAAATGGGACAACAGTAGAATGTGTTGGCTACAAGGAACAACAATGGCATTCTTTCCTTTTACATCAGATGAATTACCCAAGGGCTGCAACACACTTGGCCAACATAAATTTAACTTTGCAATGTACCTCCGTGAGAGGTGCACAGTTATTTTGATTTAAAGAGATGAACAAACTCCAGTTCAGAAGCAGGCAGAAGCAGTGCGAAGACTTGGCTGTAACTTACAGAGTGTTCAAAACTGTGCAACATTTCATCCACTTTCCCCATCATTTATGTTTTATCATGCTTAAATCAGATGACTATCCTTGCTTTTAATTTCTCTCTGAAAGATCTGATTAAACCCTGCAATGAGTCCTGATTGGAGGCTGCAGATTTGCTGAAAAGGGAAAAAGCCCATTTCCTGCTGAGATTTATTTCTTAAACATTCAGTCCCACACAGGAGACCGCAGTAAAACTGCAGTTTGATAAGAGATGTGCCTTAAAACAAACGGCTGTAGACAAAGCCTTAAAAAGTTAAACAGGAACATCTTCTTGCTAATGTTTTGCTCAGAAAGAAAGCACTTGCAATCCCAGTAACAACACTGGATATGTATTGAGAAGTTTAGATAGACACATTGCATCAAAACATGGGAAGTTACGTTATATTGAGTTAAGTCACTGGTCCATCTAGATCAGTATTGTCAACACTGGCCAGCAGCAGCTCTCTTTGGCTTTCAGATGGGGGCATTCCCAACTATACATAGAGATGCTATGAAATGAACCTGGGGCATTCTGCATGCCAAGCCACTGAGCTACAGCCCTTCCCTTGTTTTGTTCCCATTGTCACTCAACAGATCAGTGGTGTGGAGTCTCTGGCCCTCTACAGCTCCCCATGAGGCCCAACAGGCCATTTAGGCCAAACTACTCCAATCTGTCCTACAGCTGTGAAGTGTGAGGCACATTTTCTTGGGAGAAAAGCAACGACAAACCTAGACAGCATCTTAAAAAGTAGAGAAATCACCTTGCCAACAAAGGTCCGTATAGTAAAAGCTATGGTTTTCCCAGTAGTGATGTATGGAAGTGAAAGCTGGACCATAAAGAAGGCTGATCACCGAAGAATTGATGCTTTTGAATTATGGTGCTGGAGGAGACTCTTGAGAGTCCCATGGACTGCAAGAAGATCAAACCTCTCTATTCTTAAGGAAATCAGCCTGAGTGCTCACTGGAAGGACAGATCGTGAAGCTGAGGCTCCAATACTTTGGCCACCTCATGAGAAGAGAAGACTCCCTGGAAAAGACCCTGATGTTGGGAAAGATGGAGGGCACAAGGAGAAGAGGACGACAGAGGACAAGATGGTTGGACAGTGTTCTCGAAGCTATCAGCATGAGTTTGATCAAACTGCGGGAGGCTGTGGAAGACAGGAGTGCCTGGCGTACTCTGGTCCATGGGGTCACGAAGAGTCGGACACAACTAAACGACTAAACAACAACAACTCCAATCTGCCCTACAGCTGTGAAGTGTGAGGCACATAGAACATATTTTTTGCAGGTGCAAATGGTCAGCTGATGGTTGATTCTTTCAAAGTGCTGTGCCATCACGGTGATGTCAGTTGACTGACAGGTCAGCAGCCATCCCCACCTGTCAAAGCTGGCCGGCATGGCATGGCGCAGATAAGAGTGTGACCCAGGTGCAGTTCTCCACCCCTGCTGCAAACAGATAAATGGCAATTTACAAGAACCTCCTGATTGATTCGTTCTACACAAAACAACATTTTTCCTTTTGCCTTCAGAGATGGATGTTCTATCCTTACCCATTCTTCAAAAACTCATCATAGACTTTATGAGCCCTTATGGCAGTTAAGAGACTTGTGTTACAAGACCAAAAGGACAAATAGTCACCATCTACTACTCAGTGCTCAGATCTCACCATCCTTTTCTATCTTCAGACACATGACTTGTACATATCAATATCACTGGACATTTGGATATATGTTTAAATTTGAACTGATGGAATATTCTTCTTGATAATGTCAGCTGGCAATGTTTCAACATTTCTTTCTTTTTTGTTATACTGTAACTACAAAACTACAAAAAAAAACTAAGGGACGCGGGTGGCGCTGTGGGTAAAACCTCAGCGCCTAGGACTTGCTGATCGCATGGTCAGCGGTTCGTATCCCTGCGGCGGGGTGCACTCCTGTCATTCGGTCCCAGCGCCTGCCAACCTAGCAGTTCGAAAGCACCTCTGGGTGCAAGTAGATAAATAGAGACCGCTTACCAGCGGGAAGGTAAACGGCGTTCCGTGTGCTGCGCTGGCTCGCCAGATGCAGCTTGTCACGCTGTCCACGTGACCCGGAAGTGTCTGCGGACAGCGCTGGTTCCCGGCCTATAGAGTGAGATGAGCGCACAACCCTAGAGTCTGGCAAGACTGGCCCGTACGGGCAGGGGTACCTTTACCTTTACCTTTAACTACAAAATTACCAACTTTTTTAAAAAAATCATCCTCAGAGCTCTAAATGTCTTGAGATCTAACAACTGGATTGCAGAGGGAATAATTTTTATTATTATTATTATGCATTTAATGTATTTCTAACCCAAGATAAATCTTTAGTGAAATTCTCATGGGGGTGATCAGGGTGTTTTATTGTGTTTATCTACTTCCAAGGTGGCCAAGCAGTGCTTTCATTCTACAGATTATTATCCCCCGTGATCTGCACTGTGCAGCCTTCCCAAGTGCCCTTCCTTGGTGAAAACTGCGGGACATGCAAGGCTGGGATGTCCTGTAATTGTAGAAGGCAGAGATTCTGTGTTACCAGTCTTTCTTTGTTTTTGTTTTTTAGTTAAAGTCTGTTTACTTGCAAAAAAAGTGTGTGTTTTTTAACTTTTAAAAAAGAGAGAAAAGAAAGGAATTCCCTTAAGAACAACAACAACAACAACAAAAAGCAAGCACACCAGCCTCACGCATTATGTAGACATCCACCCCAGCTTCCCAAATTTAAAACGGAACTTGGGGGAAGACATTGTGAGGCAAGTCCTCCCATGGGGCTTTTTCAGATCAGTAAGCATGAGAAGCCAGGGCGGCTGCAGAACTTTGAAGAAAAGTTGAATGGAAAGGAAAACATGCATCATTCACAGCCCCACGTCTACAATAAAATAAGCTCAATCCCACACCCACTAAAATTATAAACACATTCTAATTTGTTCCACACAAGAGGTAGAAAAATGAAAGCCTATTTTACAGCTGAAGAAAAAAAATATTTTTTTGGGGGGGGGATGGAGCGCAGGCTTTGGCATGACACTCAATATCACAAAACACATTCTACCATGGTTATACTCCTTAGGGTTGAGAAATTACCGTATGTCCATTACAGTTTCTATCAGTTTCTCATTTTTCTACTCTTAAATTCTTCATACTTTGCGATTTGTTTTAAAGAAGTCCACAACAAAATACATTAACATTACTCCTAATATATGCAGTTTTGCCTAATGCAATTCATTTTTATATTATTTTCACTAAAATTGCATTTTTATGCATACTTTCCCCTCATATATGCGTTTCTTTTACACATTTGTTTTGTCAGAGAATTGCACTGAAAACTTCAGAGAAAAGTGTGAATTTTGAAAGATAGCTGTGTTTCTTTTGTGTATTGTTTTGGAAAGGGCAGATTAGATGGGGTCGCACTTTTAATTGGGAGAACCAAATTTCTCTCCCATCAGTAATAATTACAAGTGATATTTAATTCGCTATTTGATAACCGTGTGTCATCCAGCTTCATGAAACTAGCTGCCCTCTTTATTTACTGTATTTCTCTTCTTTTCTGCATGGAACATTTGCTGTTTGCCCTATTACTGTTGCAAGGGATGGATTATCGTCAGATCTGTGGTTTTCACAGAGCAACCCACACATATTTCCTCTGTACATGGAAATTTCCTCCACAACATGCAGAATATAGCTCGTTTTCACAAAAGAACATCAGGACTTGCCATTTGCCTTCTTAAATTAGGAACCCTGACAAAAAGACAACAGTAATACTATATTGTTTGTTTGTTTGTTTGTTTGTTTCTCTCTCCTTACCTCACTCTACTTTCAGTAAAAAAAATATTAAAAGCTACAGTTTAAAATGAGAGCTAATAAATTTTTGACCAGTCACCAAAGAGCATAGAAATGGGAAATTAATGCTCCGAAACCAACTTCCATGTCAGGTAAAGATGCTGAATATCTCACCTACTAACTTACAAACATAGGTTCATGTAACCACACTTCAGGAGAGGGGCCATGTGTGCAGACAAGAGTCCAAAAGATGCAGCTTTCAAAATATGCTACACAGGCAACAATTTGATCTCTTATTTATCCATAAACCCAGTGCTAAATGCACAGGGAGCCCCAATGAGCCTCCCTGCTTCATGCAGCCAGTCTCCAACTCATGGAAAACAACAGAAATGGCATTCGAGGGGGAGCAGATCTGGTTTGGTCATTCCCATGCTGTTGCCGTCACTACCTTCACAGACATGTTTGGTCAGCCCAGCTTCAGAATGCCTAGAAAGGGCTACAGCTTTCCCCCAAAACGCCTCCTACTGAAGTACCCTGCAAAATCTCTTTCTTCCCTCATGGTACTGCTATTAGGACCTTGCTGCGCTCACTACTGAGATTACCTGAGCCTCCAGTGACAAAGATGGATGGAGGAGCACGTATGCAAACCCTTGGAGAATCAATGACAACTCCCAGACCTAGGAACCGCTCGCCTTCTTATTAGGATTCAGCCTCCATATGTTGGTCCTCATCCATTGCATCTAGGCATCAGTTCAAAACAGTCTCAGCCTTTCCAGATTCAGATGGCAGTATTCTCTGAACCTGGCCCTGTACGTAGGCCATGCTTGCTAGGGCTGTCAGAAGTTGTAGATCAGAAAAACCTAGGGGGTCAAAGGTTCCTCACACCTGATACATGGAATACTTAGAAAGGGCATAACCAGAATATTTTAGCAAATTAGAATTGATTTTGGAGTAAGCTTTATTTCAGTTCCTAAAACTCGTTAAAAATCTCAAAAGTGCTTTCAATTCCTGTACCAATCCAAACTTAGTTGGGGAAGGTCACCCATCTCTCATTTATTTAGAGCCATAGGATAAGAATCTAAAATATAAATCTAAACAGCTCCTAAACACACAGATGACACAGACATTTCCCTCCATTTTTAAACCTGCTATCTTTTGAGAAGTATCACTCTTACAGTGATTTTCTCGGGTTTCTTCCATAGTGCTTCACATTTCCTCAAGTACACTTTTCTAGAAGTACTTTTAACAACCCGATGTGACAAAAATCTAGATCTAGGTGCAACACATTTTTCAGCTGCCTCAAAAGACATTTAACAATATCCCTCCAAGGCCTTTCTTCTCATTGAACACTCTATTTTATTAGTTTCCACTTACCTCACCGTATGAGAAGGATGGTGAAAGAAGTGAAAGCTGGAGTGGGAGTAGGGGATAAAGAGGTAACATTTATGGTTCCTAGTTATTTGGCATGCAACCTAAAAAATAATACAAACAAAGTAGAATATGGATTTGCAGTTGATGTTTGTTTTGTTAGAACATAGGGATGGCGAACATCTGAGACAGAACTGCCTGCTGGAGAATCAAAGGAAAGCTAACTAACTATTATGTGGCATTGTTGCTATGGACACCAGAGATTCAAAACCTACTCTGGACAGATCCAAGACAGGCACACAATACTTAATACTCCTGAAAGGATTCTTAGTCATCGACACTTTGTACTCTAAAGCCATTTGGAACATAATAAAGGGAAGCTGCACTTCAATTTTTTTAGAAGAATATGGAGAGTTAAAATATAATTTATGTTAAAAATGAGACCCTCATAAACCTATTTAAAACCTAAATGAGAGCATGAAGGAAGATGAGTTTTAAGCTCCCTTGGTACCTGGATATCCATTTTGCCAAAAGGTGAGCTAGTACAGGACTGTTTAAAAAGGAAATATTGTATTTAAAACATACACTAGCCACTCCTATATGAATGCTGCCCATGTACTTATTCTGCCTGTTCTTTTTCATTTATTCATCATGAGGTGCAGATCAGAGCACACACAACTCTGGCTTGTCGTCTCATTGCATGTTCTAGCACCTCAAAATGCTACTTTTTGCTGTGGATAATCAGGATGCTTTGCTAATAAGGTTCCAACACTGTTTGGTATACACATGGGGAAGGGCCTGGCATGTGAGAAACCCCACAAGCAGGATTCAAGCATATTCTCCCTTCCTATGGTTTCCAGAAAATGGTATTCAGAAGCGTCACTGTCTCCAACTGTGGCGGCAAAGCACAGTCATCACAGCTAATAACCACTGATAGCCCTCTCCTCCATGAATTTATCTAGTTTAACTATCCACAGCTTCACTGAATGTCCACAAGTTCTAGCACTATGAGGAAAAAACTTTTTCTATCCACTTTTTCCATGCCACTTCTATCATGCTGCCTCTTGCTCAACATTTCTCTAAACTAAAAAGTCCCAAACACTGCAACATTGCTTCATAGGGGAATCACTTCATCCTTTTGATTGTTCCCCCCGGTTGCCCTTTTCTGAAATGAATTTGAATGGATCTATGGTAGAACAAGACATGTTAGCATTTTGCAGCCCAAACTTTTCTGAAAGCCTTTGGCTAGCACTGATCTCAGTGGCTTTTCAGCATCTGCTTCATGAGGAAGAGGTAACACAGCCTGAGTACATTTCCTTCCGTATCTAGGCTGAATCACTGTACAGTAGCAGCCAAGAGGCAGTCCTCCTTTTCTCACTGCAAGTGATAGTGCCAATCAACATTTTGGTGACATCTTTATTTATACAAGTTCAGACATTGTGAAAAAAATGTTTTACATCATTTATATTATAAGTGCTATGCCTCCTTATATATAATTAATACGCTTCAGCTGAAGAGCAGCGTGTCTTCTAAAAGCAAACATGTGTAAAGACACTGCAAAAAGTGTGTGTAAAATGTATCAAAAATAAAAATATATGTACATTGTTAAAAATCCATGCTTTATATTCCATTCTTTCCTTTGCCTCTTATTGCATCAAGGCACTGGAACAGGGTTGCCACAGACAAACACATTTTGTGGAGTTTCTGTTGCACAGGATCCTCAGTAAAAAGAATTAACATAATTCTTTAGTGGTAGATTTCTTCCACTCAGTGGATTTAAGATTCCATTTGGGTTCTGGTGTCCTTCAAAGGGGGAGGGAACCAGCTCTGCAACACTGCTACTGTTAGCTGCTGAGAAGCAGCACAAGGGCTTCCAGGCATTTGAAGTGATAGGCATCTTGCTGGTTTTCTTGTTGCTGAAGAGCTAAAAGAGAGAGAGAGACAGAGAGAGAGAGAGAGACAGAGAGAGAGAGAGGGGGGGGGGGGGAGAGAACCGCACACATCACATCAGGTGTTTGCAATTTATCTATCTGATAATTAAAGGTAACAATAAAAAGGCAGGTCCTTCTAACCTTTTGTATTATTTTTTAAAGCAACTATCAGGGCAGAAATTCTATTAAGCCTTTGGTTTCAGAAAGCATACTACCATAATTGGTTTATAGCAGCACATGCCAGACCACTGATTTATCTGGCTCATTGAGGTAGGTCTACACTGATTAGAGAAGCTGAGGGTTCCCACCCCTGGCCTACACAAACTAGCAGCAACTCTCTAGGGTTCTAGAAAGTGAGTGTTTACCAACCTTGCCTGATGCCAGAGACCAAACCTGGCGCCTTTCCCATGCAAAGCATATGTTCTAGTACAAAGCTAAACTCTTCCCCAACTAATGCTGGAAATCACATTTGAGAACATACTGGCCCCCTTGATCAAACTACTTTAGGTAGAGCTCTCAAAAGCAGGCTCTGTGAAAATGTTTATGGAAGGAACTTTGGACTAGTGGAGACCCCTACTGGAGTACAAGGAGACTCAAGCACTACCACTCATGCTTCTCCCCTAGGCAACCCAACCCTACAGTGCAGGCTTCCATGTCCACTAAAGGAAGCTTAGTAAGGGTCTAACCCAGTCTGGGTCTTTCTCAGAATTAAACTGAATATGCTCATGACATGCAAGATTCTATTCAAAAGGCTAATTTTGACTGTGCCTTTTCTCTAAGATTTTAGGCAATATGCAATGGGGAAAAGCTACGGCAAGTATACAGATATATTCAATATTCAGTACTAACACACTAATCTAAGCTAGTACACGTAAAAAGATTTTTCTTTTTTCTTTTAAGGCACATTATGAATGTCAAAAGTACAGTCCAAAGAACACAAAGCTTCAGGAAGTTTGTTGACATTGCTGCAAACCTGTGCACACTTCCTTTTGGAGCAAGCTCCATTGAACTCAGTGGGATTCATTTACAATAGTACTGCATACTATGTGTTTGTTTCTGAGGTCCACACTGAATATTGAGGAGCTGTTTGCAAAACAATCCCCGCATCAGCTGCTACTCCTTTTGAGATGGAAAACCAAATTTTCTCCGTTAAAAACGTACTTTTCTTGACTGAAAGGAAGGCGTCGTCTATTCTTCTTTTTATTGATGGGTTCTTCAAAGTCACTTTTGCCTGTAGCACAAAGAAAGAATAATCCAATGACTGTATTAACTCCCCCGTGCCGATGCTCTTAAGATCATTCCTTCTCCTTGGCAGTCATTTATTGGCAGCAGGCCACAAAGCTATGACATTCAGAAACTTAAGAATGCAACATGTGAGCACACCATTGTGCATAGCGCTGTGGGGCAGAGGAGGGGGGAAGAGACCAGAGTTCAATGAAATGCAGCCAATAAAAGGAGCCACAATCTCCCTGAACATGGCTGTTTGCAAAGCTCAGCATAACAGAAAGTTCCTCTTTGAATATTAAGATGCTGTGTGACACACTTGCCAACTTCTTGCTGGATGCAATGATGCTGGAATGAGCATAGGCTGTCTGTTACATGACAATAAGGAGCGTATTTTAAAGCCATGCATCACATAACCTACAATAAGATGCATTATGTTGCCATTTATCAGTGATAATTTGATGCATTATGTACCTCGCAGCTTGCATGCAGAGGCTGAGAGTGGAGGAAGAATATGTGCTTTCAGAAACAGACACCATTTCCTTATTAATAGCATTAGGAGTTCCACTAAGTGTAATTGGGTGCAGAACAGAAATGTTTTTTCACACTCTGGCATAAACAGGAAAATGGAACCCAGAACAGGGTTCTGAAAACAGGTAATTACAGTACTTAGTTATCAAGGATTCTGTAAGCTTCAGGGGTGCATAACAGGTGAGGGTGTATCAGAACCACAGAGGTGAAGAAATTATTAAAATGTTCTATACTTCTGCATCGATCAAACTTCATGAAGCTTTAGAGAGTTTGAAATGGTGATCTTAACCTTATTAGCTGCCATGCAGTGTATGCTTTCTTAGAGATCACTGACCTGGACTTCCTTAAACTTGGGCCAATGGCTTAAGATGCATGATGCTAAGGAATACTCACAAACACTCCAACTTCTCAGGAAGAAGTTGTCAGAAACAAAATGGCCCTAGGACCAGTTTCTGTGAGAAGGCAGTTTTCAGTATGGCTGGGATTAAAGCATCCCACACACTAGTTCTACTATACTGGCAGGGCAAGGATGGATGGGCAGGGTAAACACTGGGAAGCTAACTGGTAGGCAGAAGGTAAGCACCCTTGGGGAAAGACTGTAAGTATGGCGGTAGAATAAAAAGAGAAAGTGGGATACAGGCTGAATGGAAAGAATCCCAATGTAATACTTGCTATTTCACAGGAATAAGGAATTTAACAATTGTCAAGATTACATCCTGTGCTTTTATGCAAAACACAGAAATGAAGAATTTCTCCAACTGTGGCCTCTCTCATTATAGCAGCATGTTGATTGGCAATCCAAAGGGGTCATTGACTCGGGGGTGCTAAATATCATGTATTAAATGACTGAAGACCTGCCAATTTTGCTGCAAGCTTTCCTTTTTAAAAATGATGTACAGTCTTATTGACCATGCTAATGAAAAGGTAAGATATATAATGTAAAACATAAGGAAAAGCTACAACGCTTCAGTGAATACATGTCAAAAGAGAGACATCCAGTCTTTTTTTTTTTAAAAAAAGAAAGAACCCAAAACACTAACCTTCTGATAATTGTGAAGCAAAGCCCAAAGTGCAGATGCTCCTATTCTTCGAGCTACAGGATTATCACTTTCTAGACAGTCAGATAGCAGTGCAATGGCTTTATCTACAAGGAAGACAAAAGACCACACATGCACCTAACAAAAGGACATTATATCATCATTTCAGCTTCTCCAGTTCGCTCCCGTGGATAATTTGTCTCTTTTTTCTCTGGTAAATATTACAACTGTACGTACAGTAGGTTTATATCATCAGAATAATTTATTTTCAACTAATCACTCCTGACTTCTGCCATTAGAAAGTGTTCTTTGTAAAAATAAATCTGTATTAAATTTCATGTAAAGCAAGAAACTGCAGGTATCTTACCAGGGTACTCATGGGTATAGGAAAGCAGGTATCTTAATTACAAAGCAGGCATTCTAATTAGCTAGGAGACCCAAAAGTTGTGGAAAAGAGATGGGTACATCACTGCTTTTATTACAATCAAGCAGCATATAAATTCTGTTAAAAAAATAAAATAGTATATGCTTTAGTAAAAGCCAAGCGCGTAGGAATTAAGACACTGGCAATCTTAACCCACCTGCACTGGCAAAAACCCATTATTCTGCTGCTTCTTACACATGCTTTTCTGTCTTCAAAACGTACCTGCACACTTGGCATTTCATTATCACCATGTTCAGAATATTAGGATTCTGTTCTATTATATTTAAAGCAGATTATAGAGCTGAATAATCATTGCCTAAGAAAGGTTTCCAAGTATGAAGGTAATTGTCGATGGAAACTGTTAAGAGTTCTGTTAGAAAGTAACATGTAGCTTCATCTGTTGCCCCCTCCCCCCACAAGAAACCTTGCAACATATAAAAATTCTGTTTCACTGCATTGCTTCCACTATATGTGTGTACACACATGCACACACACACACACCATATGATCACATAATATGTGCAGGTTTCTTATGGATCCATTTAGCTGGGGTCTAATTTGCAGTGACGTAAGAATGCTTTCCCCATTAAAATACTAACCCCTATCTAGGCACAATTCAAAGTGACTATCTATGACAGGCCTACGCAAACTCGGCCCTCCAGATGTTTTGGGACTACAACTCCCATCATCCCTGACCACTGGTCCTGTTAGCTAGGGATGGTGGGATTTCTAGTCCTAAAACATCTGGAGGGTCGAGTTTGCATATGCCTGATCTATGAAGTCCTAAACAGCTGAGGACCAAGTTATATGAAGGACTGTCCTGTACCACTGCATTTCCTAACCTTGGGTCCCCAGATGTTATTGAACTACAACTCACCTCCCCTCCTTGAGCACTGAGGTTGATGGGAGTTGTAGTCCTACAACATCCAGGGAACAGAAGTTGGGAAAGGCTGAGGACAGCCCATATTATCACATGAGCCTGCCTAGTCATTCTGGGTGTCCCTCACCAAACATAGGCAGCAGCCAGCAGGTGATTTGGTAGCGATGGTCCACATGTGAAAAGCTGCCTGATGCCGAGCAAAGTACTTTATAATACATACACTCAGGCATTCCAATATGTTTCATAGTAGGATGTAACTTGTTTTTCAAGCTGGGTTATTTTTTCCTAATTTTACAGATTTCATAGCCATTGTAGTGCAACTTTATGCTATTCTTTCACTTTTACTGTACATGTTTTCTGATTTTAAGTTGCACACAATTTGGAGCTTAGCACTAAAGGGTAGTGCCTAAATTCTTTAAATAAATTATTTGTTGGCATGCCACAGCATATGATAAATTTATTTCAGGAGTGCCCTAGCCAACTCCCTGCACAAACTGAACAGTGTGCTCTAGAGTTCCAAAATGCTTAATTAGCAACTGTATAAACTTAATTAACACACAGTTCCCAATCAAGTTTAATCATATATAAAATCTTATATACCGTAGATTCCGGCGTATTAGGCGACTGGGCGTATTAGATGACCCCCCAAATTAGCAGCTGCAATTTGGGGGTTCGTCATAAAAGCCCAGCCACCTAATACGCTGGGTATCTCCGCGCTGGGAGAAAGCTGCCCGGCACGGAGCGGAGCGGAGCCCGCCGTCCCTGCTGCTGCTTCTGAAGTGGACGGGCTCCGCGCCAGGCAGCTCTCTCCCGGCACGGAGCCCACTGCTGCTTCGGAGCCACCGCAGCAGCAGCGGGGGGCGGGCTCCGCTCTGTGCTGCCCATACCCAGCGTATAAGTCGACCCCCGACTTTTTAACCTCTTTTCCGGGGTTAAAAAGTCATCTTATACGCCGGAATCTACGGTACTCACCAAGGTTAATATATATGGCAATTTATCATTACCATAAAATAGCACAGCTGTACCATGGCAACACTTTAAACAATCAGTACTTACCATTAGCCAGTATCTTGGATTTGTTGACTGGGTTAAAGCAGGTGTTGTGCAGAATCAGAAGGATGGTATATGGATGGCTTCGGTGTTTGTACTTGGCCATCTCTATAAGCTGATCTAAGCTACCATTCAGCTTCACAATCATTTGCTGCCCATCTTCTCCAAATGATAAATTCAAGAGGAGTTTCAGCCAAGCAACAGCCAGTGGACCAAGGCTTTTGTTTCCTCCTTTTGGCAATGACAGCGACAAAAAGTTCTGCAGAAAGTTACTCTGGAATGTGACAGGGGCAAAAGCATACCGCATTATTGAAGAACACCATTTCACAGTTCTTCTGTGAAACACATTTCCTCCCTCAAATAAGCTATTTCTCCAGAACCTTTGATCTAGAAACACTGTTCTGCAGTTTTGATAAATTAGCTCTTCCTCCCAAGTGACCCTTCAAATTGTAGCATATTTTCATCTATTGCTTCAGCCTGACCATCGCTTCAGTGAATGACCTCAGCCTACACAAAACAGAACAGAATGAACGTACCATTTGCCCAAACTTCCTGAAATTATGAAAAATTCAACACTAGCCTGAAACTAGAATGCTGTTTTCATAACAGATATTAATAATGCAGTCAGTAAAAATAAATAAATAAAATCCTCCTCTTCCTACACTGTTCAGTCAATCCAGTTTATGCATTATAATCTGGAAACTTTATTGCCACCAGATGTGTTAATACTGAGCTATACTCAACCCTCATGGCAGACAAGTGTCATTAAGCAGGTGATTAGTGCATACTAATTTAAGACTTAGTTACTTCAGCAAGCTTAACATATGAATCATTATTTTTAAAATAACTTTCTGATCAGCTGACACATTTTTGTATTTCTGCCTCTTTATTTTATTCTGTTGCATTTCATTTGACATTCTGTAAACCAAATTTTTGGTATAGAAATCAAGCAATAATACTAATAGCAAAGTCAAAAGTAGTTTTAAGTGTGGAATGCTGTACTATGCCAACCAGCTTATCGAGACCAGAAGGAAGGACACAATCAATTCCCATTTCTGCTCTGCTTGATGGGCAAAAGAAATAGAGACTATTATTTCCTTGTTCCACTCATTGTCTTGGTCTAAGAAGCAGTAAAGATCGTGAGCTCACAGATGAGGGAGGGAATTGCCCTAATGATTAAGTGCTTTATAGTTTCCGACAGCGTTCATCAAGCATAAGCAGGAAATTACTGTATTATTCAAAAAAGAATTATTGCATCAAAGCAAGCCAATCATTTCTGGAAAAAGGCACATCCCATGCTTTTCATTTTTGAGATAACAATACTGACATTTTTTTCAAAGCAGCAAAGAATGTAAATGAAGATCAAGGGATAGGGGCCCACCTTTCCACAAAAAGCAATGTTGACACATGACAAAGTATATTGACAGTGCATATAATTAATGTCTAAATGTATTGGAGCTGTATGCAAATATTATCCTAATTATTTTACTTTACGATGTGCAACATAGAAAACTGGTGAGTAGGGTACAGCAGTTGAAACAGCAGCTAGGAAAACAGCATGCACAATATAGCAATGAGGAAGCAATCCTACAGCAAGATATTCCAGGATAAGGGTTCATTAATTTCAATCCATTAATTTCAATGGATCTACACTGAGCAAAGTTAGTTGAATACAACCCATAGCTTTAAATTAGGCTTATATGCAAAACCAGTAACTAAATTATGCCTATACTACTATTCTTTTCTTTAAAATAAATAAATAAATAATGTCCTGTGGCAAAAAAACAACAACATGGATAGTAGTTGTTGCTTTTTTTGCAAATTGTCATAACCAACAATTAAATTACATGGATGAATAATAGAAAAGAGCTTTTTTTCAAAACTTTTCATTGTTGTTGATGATAAATTTATCATCTTACAATTCCTATATGTGGGCTTTTGAGGAGTGTGCACTAACATACTGCTTATTCACTTTAAGGCATAGTTTAAAATAAACTATGGTTTAATGTGATGTATGAACCAAGCCTATGTTTGCTATGCCTTTCCCCATAACTGACCCTCCAATTCATCATCCTAAGTGCCATTCTTTTGTTCACAATTTTTTGCTTGGTTCGGACCACATAAGTGTCTTAACATCTTTACTTGGTTTTGTGCAAAACCTAAACCTCTTTGTGAAGTTTAGAAATAAAATGTATGCCTACCTTCTGAAGAACACCCTTGCAGTCATGAGATACAACGGCATTAGCCAGAAGATTAAAGGTCATCTGCTGGATTGTGCTGTTCTCGGCTGGGGTTTGGGCAGCCAACTTCACAATGCTATGCATTAGAGAGTTTCCAGCTGCTGTTCGTTGGGCTGTTTGAAGAGGAGACAATCCACTGCTTGCCAAACACAGAGAACCACAGCCTTCAAAGATGGAACCACAGTTGCATTTAACCATCAGGAAAAACATATACATATACAGTTTCCATAAATACATGTATCCTTTTCGTATAAAAATGTAATCTTATCAATTTCATTATGATTTATGAAATATGTATTTTCGAAACAACATACCAAGACCTATGAATGAACCATTAAAGTACGTATGCAGCATTTTTTTATCAGCTTTCTACTAAGATTATTGTAAGTTGATCAGAGAAGAAAATTTATGTTTCAAGCTTCTTCTCAATAGGAAGTACACTAAATTTGGGTCAGTTAAAATAACCAGAAATGGTTTGTGCATGTACATATCTAGATATACTTCCATACAATAGAGAATTACAAATAGGATATTTAGTTTTCATGGGGATTGTGCAATATTTCTATCACATTTGCTTTTATTTACTTTCTTCAGGTTAGAAGTATTCGGTCAGTCCATGGACCAATAATACCGTATTTAAAATGTCTAGATGTGTTTAACAAAATTCCGAGAACAAATCGTATTCAGTTTTTACAAGATGGTCCTTCAGCACAACATTGCTGTTTGTCTTTGCCTCCTGTTTCAAGGGATCCAGCCAGCTGATTCCTGCAAGCAGGGCATTCCATCACATCCCCACTGTTTCCTAAATCACTCTTCCCAGTAATCTGTGGTTTCAAAACATGATCAGTCCTCATCAGTCTACTTAGTCCTCTTAGGGTTTCTTCCCCCACCTGCAGGGTTCCCCTCAGCATGTTGATATTTCCCTTCTCCTGTTCCAGTGGCCCCAAGTCCTTTTGGCACTCACCACCTAAGTTTGGTATTAGAGGGAGCAAATCATGATTTTTAAAAGTAGCGCTGGAGGTGGAAAACAAGTGCTTTTACAATTGTATAATTGTAACTATACAATTTACTGCCAAAATATTTAGTAAGGGGATTAGACATTAGAGAATAGATATCCCAGATGCTTTTAGATGGGGCAGCTAAATGTTCTCAATGTCCAGAGGCAGTTGTCAGGTGCTGGGGACAAACTGGGGTGGGTGGGTGATGTCTTCATGCGGTCCTGAGACACCTCTGCACTGCCACTGCCGAAAACAGAATTTGGACTAGGTGGAAAGTTGGCCCAATCCAATCTTAAGTGCATTTTGGATAAAGCATATATGAACGCAATCTACAAATTTTATTAGTGGCAAATATAATTTATCTTCATAAAACTCTTGGCATAAATGCATTAATAATTTTCCACCATCAAATCTTGGAAATCTAATCACGTAAAGCCTGTTAAATAAAGAGCTGCAAAGATGAGCCACTTGAGGCTTCAGTGAGAGGCAACAAATAAATTGAAAACATAATAAGACTTCTTAAAGAGATCACACCCACTTAATTTTTGCACTGTTTGAGCATGAACATTGTTTAATTATAACCCAAACAATTTAGGATGCTGAAACTCACTATTAGTGGTTTCCTGCCCACACAAGGGTCCTTCTGTGCTTTGTAAGAGATTCTCTTTTTAACTGGTAACTGCCCCCACAGTAGTCCTCAAATCAGTTCAGAATAAGCAAAGCAGTTTCTGCATCCCCTTCCTTGAAACCTGAAAGCCTCTCAAGTTATTCCCAGCCAAATTGACCCCTGGTGTACCTCTGGATTTCAGGAGAACTGAGAAAACTACATTACATAATTGCTCCTGATGCTTGGATTCCTACCACAGTAGTATCAAGCCCTAGAAGGGTGTGAGGGGGAAAACAACACACAGAGAATAGATCTCTCCTTCCCACAACCAGTAAACTGGTGGGTAGTTGGGGACTTATAGATAGGTAATGTCAGATGCTGTTGCGGTTGCTTGAGAGTAACCAGGCAGGACTCCGACCTGTGTTTTACAGGCTTTATTTTGGTGCAAACTATTTACAGTGAAGAGCGTCATAAGTTCATGTCTGGCTCAATCGCTAGCAGAATCTAGGAGTGGTCTGTTTTTGTACCTCCCCCAACATAAAAGTTTCGTCACCCCAAGCCTTTTCCGCCCCTCCCTGCGCCTCAAACTACTGTGCATGGTTGGGGATGGCAGGAGTGTGCTTCCCTCCTCTCTGGCTTGCTCAGGTGCGGTGTTAAGGCTCTCTCTAGCATTCTCTGGTCCTTGCACCTCTTCTCCACTGGAGGTGGGGCTTTCCTCTTCGCAGGAAGAGGAACTGCTTCGCAAGATTTTCGGGTAACACAACTCCCCCTCTATCTCTCACCTCTGAGCCGATGGCAGTTCCCTGACAGGTAAGAAAGAGCTGGAGTGAAGTTCTTTTCTGAATCAGATTAAAATCCAAGCCAGAGAAGAACCTAAGGGTCACAATACTCATTTCATATTTGAGGTGAGCATTTTGAATTGCCAAGGAGTTATAAAATTCAGAGACATCTCTAGTAGTAATAGTTTTACACTGGTGCACTTTTGCACTGGAAAGGTCCCAGAATATGCCTTGAGGAACGTAATTTGGCTTAATGTATGAATAAAAATTGGTTTGCAGACATGGGCTCCTAGCCATGGCCATGACCCCAAATGCTATTGCAAGCATGCTTAAGGTAATGGCCTGCCCAGTTGAATTGAAGTATTTTCTTTGAATAGGCTCTGCTGCATTACAGTCTGTGTTTGAGTGTCTTCTCAGTTTAGTTTGAAAAACTGAAGGCTGTTGTTTGAGAACATAAGTCTAAAGCCCACCTCAGGCATGCTAAACCTAGGACATGCACAACTCTTCATTGCAATGTCTAGAAAGATAATTTAAATTGACTTAATGTTTTATAAGACTACCAGGAAATTAAAGCTACTTCTGTAATGATGTGCATAGAAACCAGTCTTCAGAATCTATTCACAACAGAAATGGAAGGTTGTGTGTCTTAAGATTTCAATTGATGTTACTGTATTTTGTATGCTGTATACCACATTGCTGAATTGTTATGATAGCATGGTTTATTTAATATATAAAAGGCAAGGCTGTTTTTAAACAGAAATGCATTCATCTCCTATGACAACAGATCAAAATAAAATTTTCCACTCTTCCCAATCACACTTTCAGTTTAGATATATTCATACAAAAGTTGTCATAAATAGAAATATAAGCATTAACCTCATACATACTAACTATAGGTTTATGTGGAAAAGTGAACCACAGGAGACAAGAGTTCCTCATGTATTCACATACTGTAGATTCACTGAGCACATGAACTCATCACCCACATTAGAAAATCAATGCTGCTATATGCAACGAAGTTCACTGTCCTTCTCCTCAAAACAATAGATGTCTGAAACTTTCATAGCCTGGGTTTCCTCCTATTCTGAAGCTATGCAGATGCCTACTCATGGTACTCTTATTTCCTGTAATGTAAAACTTAGCCATGCTAGGTGTAGGTATTTAATTTAGCAAAAATTATTTGGCTCTCCATACAGGTTCAGTCAGTGTACATCTCAAAAAAGTCTTATGAAAGGTATTGCTGATTGACAGAAAATTTGGTTGTTAACAGAATGTACCTATGGATGCTGTGTAGACACACTGTGCTTATATTACTATTTTGTGCTTATTCCTAATATAAATGAATAATAACTGCTACAAGAGGAGAAAGTGGGTAGAAAGAAAGAATAAATGATATCAAAGGGTAGCCACATTATATACAAACACAGGGCCATAGTCAACTAATTTTACACATAGTAGACCTACTGAAATTAATTATTTGGTCCATAAATTTCAATAGGTCTACTCTGAGCAAAAGTTAGTTGACCAAAAGTTAGCTGATGAAACAATCTCCCTGCATGCTATTGTGGGGTTCTCCCAACCCTCCAAAGCAGTGGGGGGTGGGGAGAAGGGGAGGGCCTGTTGCACTAGTGGGAGCCTTTGCACTGGGTTCTGTTAGCACACAGGGTTAGTTGATTCCGCTCTACAATAGCTACCTATTCCTTTAAGGAAATAGGTGTGCATGTTATATAAGTTTTCCAGTCATGTTTAGTAGGGAATTTGAAGAGGACTTTCACCTGCATAGCACAGGGACAGTAAAGGATAATGCACAAAACAAATGTTAACTGTAGTTTCCCCCTCACAGCTTTTACTTGGATTAGTATTTTCTGGTGACTGTTCCAGTACAAAATATACCCGGTGGCCACACCACCAACATGTGCCCTTTGCCCTGGGAGGCATGGGGGCTCCCATCTCTGTCTTTTACATGCTGAGGAAGACATTTTTACTACCAGCAGACTTTTCCTTGCAGAGGACTTGAGGTTTCGTTTAACTGTGATGTTTTTTCTGCAGCACTTGCCTCTGTGGCATTTTTGGTTTTATTTTGAAGTGTCATAAGCATAGCATACAGGCACTAGAAGGGCAGAACACATATTTATATACAAATAAAGAAGTAAACAAAAGTCTGGCTTGTCACCCACCTAAAGGATAGTTTGCCGTGTAGACACAGAGCAAATGTAGAGCTGTTTGCATCAGTGAGTCATCCATTAAAAGCCACGGCCACAGAGCGTGCAAAACAGAGATAAGCTGAGTTCCAAGGGCTGCTGCCTGTCGGACAGAGACAAGAGGACAGTGTAATACTGAAAAGCTACTTTCATAAGAGAAACTGTGAGTAAAAGTTAAAACCCTCACAACTAATGAATAGAAGCAGTGAGATATGGTACTTAAGGTAAGGTAAAGGTACCCCTGCCCGTACGGGCCAGTCTTGCCAGACTCTAGGGTTGTGCACCCATCTCACTCAAGAGGCCGGGGGCCAGCGCTGTCCGGAGACACTTCCGGGTCACGTGGCCAGCGTGACATCGCTGCTCTGGCGAGCCAGAGCCGCACACGGAAACGCCGTTTACCTTCCTGCTAGTAAGCGGTCCCTATTTATCTACTTGCACCCGGGGGTGCTTTCGAACTGCTAGGTTGGCAGGCGCTGGGACTGAGCAACGGGGGCGCACCCTGACGCGGGGATTCGAACCGCCGACCTTTCGATCGGCAAGCGCTAGGCGCTGAGGCTTTTACCCACAGCGCCACCCGCGTCCCCCTATATGGTACTTAAAGGCATACAATAATGTTTCATCTTGTGGCTAAGGAACTCGGCAACTGCATATTCGACCAAGTGGAGTATAGAGGCCATTTTGAGCTTACCACACTCAAATACAACAGAAAGTGTAAGTTCAGATTTACTGGGGGAGGGAAGGCCCACACTGCAACTTACATTCAGTAAAGAGAATCACCCCCCCCCCCCACCATACATCTTGGAATTTGTTGAAATTCCAGAAAATGAAATCCCCTGGATGTAAAGAGAGAAGGAAGATTGTTCCAGAAGCTTCTGCTAGTGCTTGGAAGAGGTGCCTCCACCAACATTTTCAGCTTAATGTTGCATGTGCCCCCACGTCTCTTACTTTGCAGTGTTCATTTCGAAAGAAGCAATTTCTTAGGAGCTGCATGACAAGCTTTATTTCTTTGCTGAGGTTATTATCATCCTAGTAGAACAAAAAGAAATAAAGAAAGTGATTTGGCATCAATATCTAACCAGAAACTGCTTTATATGACATATATAGCACCTTTTGCTTCTGGACTTATTTTACCACACTGGAATTGCACCTGACCACCTTGCTTTCTAAGATGCTGGCATTCTAACTGTCTGTGGAAAAGATTATTGAATTTCAATAAGCTCATCTAACGCAGAAGAAGCATTTCAGCTCTACTGAACATAAAGGAAGAGCGATACAATATGGAATCCATAATGGAAGCTACGTTTTCAAACACAGCAAATTCACTGGATGGCAATAAAAGGGTTTGCTCTCAAAAGCGCAATGGAAAGGAACGAAAGTAAGGTGATAAACTGGGTAAGGGAAAGGACAAACAGCAACTTTCAAAAGGGCTCAACAGGAGTCTGCCCTTGCTCTTCTCTTTACATGTAATAAAAATGTAAGAATGTTATCAAGCAGACCGCACTGGGGGATTTGTAGTGCGACATCACAGTCTTGGATGAAATCAGGGTGGGGTGGGGGAGAAAAAATGAAGACAGGTTGTTTAACAAAAGTGGCAATGGGGTAGGAGCTCAAAGGGAGAGACAATGAAAAGGATAAAGCATAAAACATTAATAGAATTTTGAGTAAAATGGACATGAAGGAAACTGAGAGGAAAATGGTGGCTTTAAACAATGGCAGAAGCTTGAATAAAGTACCTTCATTGTACAAAGGAACTATTTTATTTATTAAATTTCTATACCACCCATCATCCAAGGATCATAGGGCAGTTTACAATATAAAACCATGAAAAGACATAACAGAGGGATGTTTTCTCTTGGAACCTAAAGATATGTAGTCCCCAAATAAGCTTCATGGCCGAGTGTAGATTTGAACTCAAGATTCTCTGATCCCAGACCAACACACTAACCACTATGCCACACACTCTTTCTTAAGCCCCAAACACATTTACTCAGGAGTAAACCCCAATTACCACAGTGGGATTTACTTGTGTGTAGACATGCACTGGATTGTGCTCTGCAACACCAGTAGGAGAAACTCCAAACTTTTAATATCAATTTTGCAAATTTTCTTTTTTAATTACCTTTTTCCTAGGGACTGCTTTTCCAGGCCTCAAGGAGTCTAGGTTCAGTTGTGCATGAATGTGCTTTATCTGTTCCAAGCAGGTTTCTATTAGGTTGGCTGCAATGAACAATGCACTCTATCAACAAACCTGCCTACACTCACATACAATGGTTACTCAGGTTACAAACACTTTGGGTTACAAACTCCGCTAACCCAGAAGCAGTACCTTAGGTTACAAACTTTGCCTCAGGATGAGAACAGAAATTGTGCGCCGGCAGCACGGCAGCAGCGGGAGGCCCCATTAGCGAAAGCGTGCCTCAGGTTAAGAACAGTTTCGGGTTAAGAATGGACCTCCAGAACGAATTAAGTTCATAACCCGAGGTACCACTGTACTTGCAAAATGTGGAAGTATCAGACATTCTATCAGTAACCAACGAGTCACATTTTCTATTTTATTTTATATTGATGGAAGTGCATTATATTATTTCTAGAACAACAACAACAAAATGTGTTCAGGTGACATACTAAATGCAAAATGACAAGCTTAAGTACCCAAAGCCTAATTAACATTTGAAGTTACCACATTTGAATTTAACTAAGCAATCAGTCCCCCTAATAGCAGACTCTAGGGAGGCATCGTCCTTCTCAGGGCATCCTGGCATTTGCAGATGGGCGGGAGAGAGAGTTAAAAAAACAAATAAAAATGGGGAGCCCCTCCCTAGTCCACAAAAGGAAATGAGGAATGAGCATGCTCAGGGGCCAGCAGGAACTGTAGACTGTCCAGTGGAAATCTGTTTGCTATAGCCCCTAACAGCTTATAGCATCTCAGAGAAAGGTATGGCTAGCTTGCTGGATAAATCCTGTTACTTTGGAAGGATTTCAACAGGCAGTTAATATGTCTCACCTATTTTACAATTAGCTCATAGTTTAAAGAGTGTGTCTTCAATGTACAATTATTTCTTTTCTACGGATTCAACTGACCAGGACACAATGGTAGGATGAGAACCTATGCAACTCAGGCTCAAACCATTCACATCTTCGGCCCTGACATGCAAGTTTTGGGACTTCTTGTTTTTTTACCACACATCTGGAAAGGGATTATTAAGTAAATTGCTTTGGTTCTGTAAATATGGATGTTATTGTTCCATATGATTTTTCTTTTTAGAGACACTATGTAACATTTTGCTGGCTTTTCCTTAAACCTGCTATCCTTATCAAATACTTAACCATACAAAAATGACAAGATCAATTATCAGCAGGTATGCTGTTCAGTGTTAGGTTTCATACACAGTGGAGTGAGGAGATAGTCGCAGTGTGTAATTTTTTTTTTACCAATTCCTCAATGCAGCCTCCTGTAAAGCTCCTTTGGCAGGGGGGGAGACCCTCCAGGACATGGGGAGGTGGTACAGGGGATCAGTGAAAACCATCTTCCACCACCCACTTTCCTCCATTGAGGAGCTTTGCTGGGTCCTGGTTCTCTCTGTGAACTGAAGGAACCCATCCATCTGCAGAGGCACAAGTTTGGAGCCAACCCACAAGGAATACCAATAACTGCTTTTATTTTGTTCTTATTTGCTCACTTGCAAGCAAGAGGAACGGCAACCCTCTGAGGTTGCTCAGGCATCAATAAATACTAGATCTTCCTGCCTGAACCTTAACATTGGTGCCATGGGAGACCTTTAAAATGGTTCTTCAAGTTTCTGAAGTAAACAGAGTGCTAAAATACATGCCGACATCAACCTTGTGTTTTCCCACCTAGACTGTACTGTCTAAATGCAAGGTTCTCCACAAGGGATTTACTCCGAGGCTCTCATAGATTCAAGGGCATTCAAAATGCACTGCTTGGCTATGGTGTGTCTATAAACAGGTTATTCAGGGCCAGGAGAAGATAATGAACACTTAGAATTACAAATATGGATACGTTTTAGACATACAGAAACACAAAAGACACTAACGTGCATTAATTCAGAACTTCTAAAAATATCCGTCATTGAACCAGAACCACTTGAGCAGATAAGTCTGTTTAATGGTACCTATAAATGCATGACAAAATGAAAGCCAACTGTTGTGGTGCCATTTCTCTAGTAATGCCCATAACCAGCAAGTTCTAACGTTGATTCCGATCCTGCTCTTGGTTTTGCATGTCACCGAAAGTAGACCTGGGAACACTTGTTTTAAATAAGATGTGTAAGGCTGTTTTTGCATTCCCTACACAGTAAGGACAACCTCAGTGTGTGTTATAGCAAGGCAGCTCACCTTCCAAAGCACATTTCTGGGCACTTTTACTGACAGCCAAAAGGGGAAGCAAAGCACTGGCAGCAACTCGCTTCAGCACATCCTGAGAGGATTTTCCTTCATAGCTCTACCAATAAAGCAACATTGGTTACCACATAGACAATTTAGAGAACATATCCTGCAGGAAGTTGCACGTTAAATGTCTGCAAATTCCATTTACACATTTACTTACCGGTTTTCTAGACTGTCCTTCATCACACATAAAATGCATTCAGTACAACATAATAAAATTTAAATCTCAATGAAACTTAGCAGCACAGGAACCCTCCCCCCAAAAACCCAAAATGCCTCAGGTGGAATCTACACGCATATAAAAAACATTCTGAAAATGCTTTTCTTAAAAAAAAAAAAAGTTTTAAAAATACACTGAATTTTCCATAATGCTCACCATCGCCATCTAGTGTCACACTTGAAACACACTTAAAATGTTTTATTTGCAGCTGTATAGCAGAGTCCTCAGTGTTGTCTGGAATCAGGCACAATTTGATGGCCTTCTTCCAATCCACTGGCTAGGCAGGAGGGTGTCACTGAATCCTTCCCTGCCCCACACTTCCCTCCTGGAACATATCCACAGCAGCTTCTCTCTTGGCAAGGGATACTCCCCATCTTACAGTCCACACTAAGAGAAAAATGGTCTGGAGGAAATGGCTGAAGTACTCCTTCTTGCCTTTAGTACCCTCTCTCTTTATAGGAGTTCATTAACATTCTAACATGTGGACCTTCAGCTGCCGCATCTAGTTTGCCCCTTGGCAATATCTGCAAATTAACCCAATACTTCTACAGAAGTGATTGGATTGACAGGTCCCTCCTATTTTAAGTGGCCATCCTTTTTATTCCTGCTGATAACCAGTGAGTGGAAAAGTGATGATGAGTTATCTTTTTGTCATGACACTTATCAAATCTTCAATGCAGATGATTTCAAACTATTGTTCCCCTTCTCTAGATGTGAACCTCAGGCCCTCTTTGGTCTCCTTTGTTCAATATACCTGGCTCTTACATCAGTGCCTGCTTTGATTTTGCTACTCTAACTGCTTTCTCTGAAATTACATGCCTTTTTAAAAAGCAGCATGTGAATCCAGCCACTGCAATAGTGTCACTTGCCCTTTTCAGGAAACTTCTTTCACAGAGACAGAGTTATTACCAAGCCGTCAAAGAGCCTGCCAGCCAGGTAGGCTATATTTTCATTCCACCCTCAAATTCCCCCCTTTGACCTCTGATATCTCTGCCTCAGTGGAGATGTGGGTAAGTCTGCTCAGATGTCATAGCACAGGCATAGGCAAACTCGGCCCTCCATATGTATTTGGACTACAACTCCCATCATCCCTGACCACTGGTCCTGTTAGCTAGGGATGATGGGAGTTGTAGTCCCAAAACATCTGGAGGGCCGAGTTTGCCTATGCCTGTCATAGCAGACAGGTTAGCCACAGTTCTCTAGCCAACTGGATACTAAGGGGAACTTTAACACCAGATGTGAGTTCCAAGGCACAGAAACTGAAGAACTAGTGGTGTTTGCTCTAGCTTACATGGTCACATAGCAGGGGGAAAACCCAAGTTTTCCAAGGACACCTTAAAAACATCTAGCATCCAACAGCCAAGATACAAAGGATGCTCAAGGAAAGCGATTCTGTGGCAAAACTAGAAGGCAAGGGTGGTCCTCACAACCTCAGCACTTATCAGCATATAATCTTGCCTCTTGATTGTTCCTTTATTACTCCTGTCTCTTGCTGTCTCTTACAATGAGATGCTTTTTGAAACGGTATAGATTTTATACAATAGATGTTGTTTTTAACATTACAAGAACACCTTGCGGCAAACCTCAGGCTCATGTACTCCCCGCTCCTTGCAGCTGTGCCATAGGAGCTTTGGAAACTTTCGTTTCTGTTTTAGATTAACCATGGCTTGCTATGTTGTTAAAACCCAGACAAACTATGGTTGATCCTAACAATGGTTAACTGAAATGAGCCAAGTTCTTTTTAAGTAGGTTGGTCTCTATTCATTCTTATTTAAAAATATGTATGGGCTGCTTTTGTATGAGCAGGCTTGTTTCAATAAACCATTTAAGATTAACTACAGTTTGTCCAGTTCAAACAACATACTAAATGGCACTGAAAGACAAAACAGAAAACTTCAATTTTAAATTATGTCCACACCGGGGATGGGGAAAGCACAAGCCCAAGGCTCATAACACTAAACCACATTTTAGGGCTTGTAAAATGTATGCAGCCAATTCACCCCCTCCCCATAACCTGTTATTTTCTTTTAAGTTGTGGGGAGGAGGGGAGGGAATTTGCACAAACCTGGCCCACAAAACAGGATTGTTAGTCCTGTGTAAATTTTAATCCACATACAGAGGAATTGGAATCACTTTGTCCCCATATGGGGTTCACCTGTATGGTTTAAGATTTTCATGGGAGCCCAACATGGGCTTTTCTCTTTCTCTTAAGCTCTTTTCACTCATGTTCCTATTTTCATCTGTGCTTTCCTTTACTATCTTCTGTGATAAATACATACTTCTTCATGAGTTTCACTTTTGAATATGTGTGTGTGTATTCTTTTTAAAATTATTTTTATTTACTTTTCTGTTTAATCGTATTGTCAACGCATACTGTGTTACAGTCAGACACAGGATAGCAGGAAAAAACAAAAACAAATATACAACATAGATATATGTCCTTAAGTGAAACTTCTGAAACCCTCCTCCTGTTAGTCTATGGATGAAATTACTGACTATCACAAGCATTTTGTCTGTACAAGCATATCAGCTTGCTGGTTGGAACAATTCTGGTGTTTTCTCCTGACCCTCCAGAGCCAAAATTGGGGGCATGCGGGTGCACAGGGGGATAATAGGGGGTAAATCTCCTGTTTTATGTATGTAAATATAATAAATATTCTTTTGCTGGATATGCTGTTATTTCGCTATTTTATCACTTAAGAAATGCAAGCAGAGAGAGGAAGCAACACGGCAGAGTAGAAGAATGCAGAGAGGACAGACAAACAACTGAACGTGCACATTTCAATTCACCGAGTGCAAATAGGAAGTAATGCCTACAGAAAGTAAAAAGATGCATTCCCAATAAAATACACTGGATCCAGACCTGCTGCCTCAAGAACATTGATTCCCATTACAATAATCTCCTCTTCCAACACAATTAGGATCATCGTTAGACTGAAGATAGCAAACACTGAATGGGTCATTTAAGAGGAAGTTATTTTAGTTTCATTAAACTGAAGCAGGTCATATTAATGGAAAGAAATTGGAATAGGAACAGGCATGAGGCCTTAGCCAGTTGATGAATATAACACCCTAAATAAGATCTGCTTATCTTCTGACTTCTATTTGGTCCTAGACAGTAAAGGTCTGCTAGATTTTTCAGACCTGTACTTGAGCAGAAGTAATATTTTCACCAGAGTCATCATCTACAGAAGAACTCACTGCAAGAATAAAAAGCTCAAAAGAAATGGGTTAGAAGCCCAATCCGCTGGGTAACAGAACTATAGGCATTGACTTGGTAAAAAAAGGAGCTGAGAATAGCAAGGCATGAAGTGCTTCAGTATTTTACTGCTATTCCATGGCTTAAGAGCCTGATTTTGAAGGCAGTAAATCAAATAAGAAAGAATTTACACAGGGAAATAGAGAAGTAAAATACTTCAGGAATTGTTTCTGCAAAGATATTGATCAGCAGTACGCAAGAGAATATTTTACCAAGGTCTCAAAGAAAAAGAAAAGAGGGTGCTTATAGACAGCTATAATACCATTAACAGCACTGTGGCTAAGATGGGATGGGATTATCCTGTATCTGATGCCAAGAGTCTTGAGTCCATAAAGCAATCAAATTTAGAAGACACTGGCTTCAATATTTTCAGACCACTTGAATATTGCAGTTAAGGGAACTAAAGCTAAGGCAAACACACTGCCATGTCTCAGAGCAAAATTTCATTTCAAAGGGGCAAAAAGGGGTGGGATAACAAAGGAGATTTTCAACTTACATTTAATAGGAAAATAAACATACATTGAAAGCCAAATAATGTTCCTCCACACCCCTAGCTTTAGCAGATATTCTGAGGGCTTGATTCAGACTTAGACTGAAAACCTACACTTACTGGCAGTATGCTCCACTGAATATTGTGGGATTTACTCTATGTAAATATAGGACAGTACTGTTATTTATGAAGAACTCAATAGTCACGTGTTTTAATATAATATTAAAATGTGTCACAAATATATGGGCATGTTAGAATTAGGATAGAAAAACCATTTATGGATTCAGTTCTTCTTTTTCACTTATGTTTAATAAGAGAAGCATGCTCAAGAGTGTGTAAAATAGAGGAATTATGTGGTCCCAAACAAAGTTTAGTGAAACTGATATGCATCTCTGGAAGAAGCCAATAACATTGTTTTCATGCTAGAGACAGCTGCCACCAACCCCTCTTATTTCTTAACAATCCCTCTTATCAGAGCCGGCATCAGCACCTCAAGCAGCTGCCATAACTCCAATGTCTTGGTAGGGCCCATTGCAGATGCCTTCCCTAGCACCACCTCCTTAATTCCCACCCCCTGGTCTAGCATTAGAGTAGCCCCATGTGGTTGGTTCTAAGCCAGCCTTTGAGTTTCCCACAATGCTCTTGGCCAAGCCTTCCTCTGGACATATTGGGAAACAAAGAACAATAGCAAAAGCACAGTTAGGCCCTGCTGCTCAATGGTGCCTCAAACACTTCCACAGCCAGGAAAGTCCACAGAGCCCACAGAAAGAAGCATGGGCCCATCAGAGGGTTACCTCAAACCTGGAGCCAGTTCTGCCTCCTCCCATAATCCTATTCACACTATTCTTCTGCCTTTCTTCAAGAGCACCCACAACTCTATCTGACACTTCTTTTCTGCATCACCTTCCCTTCCTTTCAGATTTTCAACTTTTCCAGTCAATTTACTACTTGCTTTATCTTCCCCCACACATGCTGACACAACGGCAAATATCAATGATACATAAGAACAGGGGTCAAAAACCTAAGGCCCATGGGTCAAGCGGCCTATGAGAGTCATTTAACCAGCCCATGGACCACCCACAGCCCACTCGAGGACCCCCACGGCCCACTCAGTCGGCTCCCATGCGCCGTGCTAAACTGGTGCGGAGCAGAGCAGAGACTGCCTTCCGTGACGCTGGCCGGCTTCCCATTGGCTGCAGGAAGCCAATGGGAAGCTGTGCACACCTCCTTCACACCAGAAATAGCATTTGTACATGTGTACGCACGCACTCTGGCCCACCGCAGCGTCTGCAAGACCATGAACCGGCCCAAGCCACAAAACCTTTGCCGACCCCTGCATAAGAACATAAAAAGAGCCTGCTGGATCAGGGCAACGACACATCTAGTTCAGCATCCTGTTTGCAAAGCAGATGTCTGTGAGAAAGCAGAATGCCTGCACTTACGCCGTCTTTACAATTAGTTCCAATGTCTTTACAATTACAGTTACTTAGGAGCACAGTCCACTGAACCAATAGATGTTACTTCCAAGTAAGCAGGTGCACAACTGGGCTGCAACTTTTTAAGCTACCCTGGAGGATCTGCTGCATTAGCCTCACAGGCTGAATCTTTTCATAGAGTCCCTTCCCACCAAGAGGGGCAACCCCCCCACACACATTGTTTTGATTAACTTAAAATGAATAAGCCAGCAAAGTATGTGGGATAGATGCCCATGTAACTAATAAGACTTAAATGCACCACACTGAAATTGGATTATTATAAATTTCTACCTGAATTATTAATTCACAGAGTTTGGCCACAGAATCTCGGCTCCTCTCATCCTCATCTAGAAGGAAAACCACTGTTGGGTGGTAGCAAGCATTCTCTTTACTGTTGAGCTCTCTTTTCCCCTCTTCAGAAAACAGGACAGCAAGGAACTGCAAGCAGGCCACACACAACTCAGGGTGTCTGACGGAGAATTGCATACATTCACATATTGTTTCTAAAATACAAAAAGAAAAAGAAAGATAATGCATTTACTGTTGCAGTATTTACAGAAATAAATATATTTAACTACATATTACGGCACTGGGTTCAAAAAAGCAATGGGTAAGAAAATGGGTAAGAAAATGGCTTATGGTGGTTGTACATAAAAATATCTGGAGGGCTACTCCTGTTCAAGTTACACCTGTCAGTAGTCCTTCCTCTACACAATTATTAAAATATACAGAAGTACTACCCTCCTTTTTCATTTGGTCCTCATGCCACTTTGGGAGAGGGAGGAGAAATGGCACTGGGCCAGTTCATCCCATTATCACCAAGGACTAGAATCACTATAAAAGCACACAAATACCGTATTTTTCGCCCTATAGGACGCACTTTTTCCCCTCCAAAAATGAAGGGGAAATGTGTGTGCGTCCTATGGGGCGAATGCAGGCTTTTGCTGAAGCCTGGAGAGCGAGAGGGGTCGGTGCGCACCGACCCCTCTCGCTCTCCAGGCTTCAGGAAGCTATCCGCAAGCCGTGGGAGAGCTGCGCGAATTCATGCAGCTCTCCCACAACTAGCGGAGAGCTTGCCTGCACCCAGAAGCTTGGGGCGCACTGAGCTCAGCACGCCCCAGGCTTCCGGCTTCGCGCAGCTCTCCCACAGCTTGCGGATAGCACCTGGGGGGGGGAATAATTTTTTTTCTTTATTCCCCCCCCAAAAAAAACTAGGTGCGTCCTATGGGGCGAAAAATACAGTACCTAGGTTCATCTCTTTATGAGCTGAAAATGAGTTCCGTTGAGCCCTGAACGTGGTAAACAAAAGCAAATAAAGTAACTTATAAGCATGCAATCAAATACCAGCAAAAGTGGTTCCAACAAACACGTTCCTTTGAAAATTTCACATTCTGGTCTTAAGTTATCATTATCTGTGCAGATATCAAGGCACCTGAAAAATAGGTCTTACCGATTACTGGAATCCAATGCTTTGCAAGAGCTGCAGTCACAAATGGCAGAGAGGCATGGCCACATTTTCTTAACAGAGTAGTGAGAAGGCTGAATGAGTCTTCCCAAGTTTGGTGAACTGCAGCAGTTATCTCTGGCCCTGCCAATTAAACATACAAATAAAAAACCACATAGTTCTGATCAGTAAGTATTAATATACAGTGCCCATATAGAAAGTGGGAAGGGATTACTACTTTTGGACATTGGCTTAGTTCACATGCAAAGCTAAGCCAAAATATGGTTTAGCACGAATGAGCAAGAGTGCTGTTGTAGTGAGAAAGTATCAGTTGCTTCACTCCTGCTGTGTTACTTGAAGCTAAGCCATGATCTGACTTAGCTTTATGTTTGAACCTAGTCTCATGATTTGTCTCACTCCAATATGTGTAGAATATAGCACTTAATTCAAGATTGGAGGGTGATAAGAGGAATAATAGAGAAAGATGCGTATGACTCCATATGGTCTCAATTTATATCATTTATTTACAATAGTGCAGTAATCTCCTTACCGCCTCAGTCACAGCAGCCACTATGGAGAAATGATCTTAATGCTCTAGACTGAAATATACTCTGTGGATGTGAGTTTAATCTGTAACGTAAAAGATTTCCCATGTCTATTTTGATGCCATTTGGATGACTGCATACAATACTTAGCATCTGTATTTCCCCTGGAAGACAACACTTTACGCTTGGTCATTGTTTTTTTTTTTAAAAAAGAATCAATAAAATTTGTAATAAAACAAACAAACAATGAGTGGTAAACCAAGAACAAACCATGGTTACAGCTTGTGGTTTGTTTGAAGCAATAACATGAACTTGCCAGGTTGGGAAGTATAACTAAGCCAGACCACGGCTTGGTTCCCTGTAGCAGGGAAGCAGCAAAGCAGCCATATATACAAGCACACTAGGCTGGGAGGAAATCTGGCCTGGGGCAGCCCTTTTTTGCTGTATGACAGTCATGTAAAATCTCTGTTTCTAGGCAATAGGACAGAGATGATATTGCCGCTGCTGGGGCCCATCAGCAAAATATAGAAACAAGATTTCAAGGATCTAAACATCAAAAATAACTCAACTTTAGGTAAAGGTAAAGGTACCCCTGCCCGTACGGGCCAGTCGTGACCGACTCTGAGCTTGCGCGCTCATCTCGCTTAAGAGGCCAGGGGCCAGCGCTGTCCGAAGGCACTTCCAGGTCACGTGGCCAGCATGACGAAGCTGCTCTGGCGAGCCTGCACCAGCGCAGCACACGGAAACGCCGTTTACCTTCCCTCTATAAAGCGGTACCTATTTATCTACTTGCACTTAAGAGTGCTTTCGAACTGCTAGGTGGGCAGGAGCTGGGACCGAAAGACGGGAGCTCACCCCGCCGCGGGGATTCGAACCGTCGACCGTATGATAGGCAAGTCCTAGGCGCTGAGGTTTTACCCACAGCGCCACCCGCGTCCCCCTAACTCAACTTTGAGATCTACCAAATGACAGGTCTCACGTTCAAAGCATTTCAGTAACATACTCCTTATCACACAATTACCTAAGCCATCCTTGCAGCCAATGGAAAGAACCACAAAGGTATGAGCCAAGAGAGGTGTCAATAATGCATCTTGCATCACCAGGCGAGTGTCTACCAGCAAGCAAGACTGTAGCAGTTGGGACAACGATGAAACAAACTGCAGTAGAAACAAAACCTGTTTGAACAACAACCAAAAGATTTGGCTCAGATACTTGTAGTACGTTTCTGCAGCAATTATTTTTGACAATGAGAAGATTTTTTAAAAAAAATTAAATCAATATAAGAGATAAGAAAGTTATGAACCGCCTGTGCAATATATGCAAATATTTCAATAGTAAAAATGCGATATTCTTAGAATGCAGTCCCATGACACTCACCTGGATATAAACACCATTGCATACAGAACAACTTGCTTCCAAATAAAAATGCAAAGGATTACACTGTTAATATCCAATTGAAGACTGTAGCCTGCAATCCCAAGTGCCAAGTATCTGAAATTAAGTCCTACTGAATTTTGTAAACAGCCATGGGGTTGGGTTATTACGACATTTAGCAGAAGGTTGTGTGGTATTTTGGGTCTCTTGTACAGAAAGCATAACCAGAACCACATATTACCACCGCATTTCTATTTCACAGAAAGCATGATGAGAACCAGATATTACTACCTCCTTAGTGACTTTGCAAGTTTACAAGGAAAGGTAGAAACTGAAGGCGTTAATAGGAGTAAAATCCAAATAACTGTCATTAGTCACTAAGAACAAGAATGATATTTTAAAGCCAAGGTCCATTCCACATGAGAAGCAACAGTGCCTCTTTAATAATACTGGTACTATTACACACTTGTAATAGTAATTGTCTTCTTGCTTTGGTGATTGATGTGCAGCATAAGGTGTCAAGAATCTGATGGCTTACTTCCTGTGGTTTTAGTAAGTGCTGTGCTGAAACCAAAATGTTTCTTCTCCTGTTGAATAAAGTTTTCAGTTTTCTGCCTCTTTCTCTTTTGAATTCCCTTACAACTTTGGTGGGTAGGTGGTTGAGCTTACTTTATTTCTGCAGGTGGGACTTTACTTCTTCCTGTTAAACATCTCTCCAGCCCTCAGCAACCTCAGGTCTGCCCACGCTTCCTGATCTGAAAAAGCCTCATGGGAGATGTTACCCCATGATGGTTTTACTCTAACCTTTAACTGAAACAAGGGGAGCCAGGAAGGTTGGCTACTGAATGCCTGCGATTAGTACATTGATTCCTTTAAAAAGAACAATACTGTGCTTAAAAAATAAAAATAAACAGCTGTTAGGCACATAGTAGGCACCTTCCTCACCTTCCCATGCTTATAGGAAAGCCTAGCTGAGCATATAATGAGATTTTCAAGAAATCTGGGTACCTAGGAAGGCTGCAAAAGGCAATCCACCAAAGAGATGGCAATTTTCATTGAGACTACAGCTTGCAAGGATGGGAGGTTTGACTCTTCGCTTCTCAGCTCCGATTCCAATGGACAACCAGTCATCCTTCAGCTCATAAGCAAGTGTACGGAGCCTCAAGAACATCTTATAGGGCTTTTATGAAAACCTACGAGATGGCGGTGAAGGCTGCTAAGAAGTCTTACTTCTCGGCCTCCATTGCATCCGCTAGCTCTCACCCGGCGCAATTATTTAGTATAATTAGGTCTTAACGTCCCTTGAGGGACAGCCAAATTTAAATAACAATTTGACACACAGCTGTGAGGCATTTGCGAGCTTTTTTGCGGAGAAGGTCTTGTTGCTCCGCCATGACCTCCCTGCCAATTTGGATACAATAAAGGAACTGGAGGACCCTCGACTGTCCTCGGGTCCAGTATTGGACCACTTCGACCAGATATCCCCAGCCGATGTGGACAGACTCCTCCGAGCTGGAAAGCCCACCACCTGTCCTCTCAACCCGTGCCCGTCTTGGCTGATTAGAGCGTGTCCAGACAAGGTGCAGGCCCTCCTGGGGATATCATCAATTTGTCCCTTGACATGGGGACATTCCCAGGGGAACTGAAGGAGGCAGTGGTGCGCCCGCTCTTAAAGAAAACATCATTAGATCCTTTAGATCTATCCAATTACTGCCCGGTTTCGAATCTTCCGTTCCTAGGTAAGGTGATTGAGAGAGTGGTTGCTGAACAGCTTGGTGGGTTTCTGTATGAAACATCAGCTCTGGATCCATTCCAGTCCGGCTTCCGCACTGGTCATGGGACCAAGACGGCTCTGGTTGCCCTAACAGATGATCTTCGTAGACAGCTGGATCGAGGCGGGTCGGGGCTGCTGATTCTTCTAGATCTGTCAGCAGCTTTCGACATTGTCGATCACGAACTCCTGGACCACCGCCTTGCCGACGTGGGGATCCAGGGCACAGTCCTTCAATGGCTACGCTTGTTTCTCTCTGGTCGGGGACAGAGGGTGGCGCTTGGGGGGGAATTGTCATCGCGCCACTCCTTGGTGTGTGGAGTACCTCAGGGTGCGATACTCTCCCCGATGCTTTTCAACATCTTTATGCGCCCCCTCGCCCAGCTTGTCCGGAGTTTTGGGCTGGGTTGCCATCAGTATGCTGATGACACCCAACTCGTATCTGTTGATGGATGGCCATCCTGACTTGGCCCCAGACACACTGACCACATGTTTGGAAGCTGTGGCTGCATGGTTACATGGGAGCCGGTTGAAGCTAAATCCTTCGAAGACAGAGGTCCTATGGCTGGGACGGGACGATATGGGACTGGGGGGGGGCAACTCCCATCTCTTGCGGGGGCGCAATTAGTGCCAGCACCGTTCGTTAAGAGTTTGGGTGTAATCTTCGACACCTCCCTTTCCATGGAGGCGCAGATTGCAGCTATAACAAAGGCGGCATTTTTCCATCTCTGCCAAGCTAAGCAGTTGGCTCCTTACCTCTCTCGCCCTGAGCTAGCCACTGTGATCCACGTGACGGTCACCTCCAGACTAGATTATTGTAACTCGCTCTACGTGGGGCTGCCCTTGAGACTGACCCAGAAACTCCAGCAGGTGCAGAATGCTGCAGCGAGACTCCTTACGGGGTCCTCACTGCGAGATCACATTCACCCGGTGCTATACCAGCTGCACTGGCTCCCGGTGGAGTACAGGATCAGGTTTAAGGTGCTGGTTTTAACCTTTAAAGCCCTATACGGCCTAGGACCCTCGTACCTACGGGACCGCCTCTCCTGGTATGTTCCACAGAGAAACTTATGGTCTTCAAATAAAAACATCTTGAAGGTCCCAGGCCACAGAGAGGTTAGGCTGGCTTCATCTAGAGCCAGGGCTTTTTCAGCTGTGGCTCCGATCTGGTGGAACACTCTGTCACAAGAGACTAGGGCCCTGTGGGACTTGACATCTTTCCGCAGGGCCTGCAAGACAGAGCTGTTCCACCAGGCCTTTGGCCAGGGCACAGCCTGACTCCCTCCTTCGGCAATCTTCGCGGAGCTCTGGCCCAATGGTTGCCAGTGGTTTGTTTTGAATTAATTTTATAATGAATGATTTTAGAGTGTTGTGTTGTACTGTTGTACTGTTTTATTGTTGTTAGCCGCCCTTCGGCTGGGGAGGGCGGGATATAAATAAAATTTATTATTATTATTATTATTATTAAAGAGAGGAAAAGAGAGAGAGAGAGAGTGGCACACTATGCACCAAGTGTAATCTACACCATGACCCTTGTTCCATTTGCTCCCGAATACTTGCCCCTTTGAGAGTAGTTTTGTTCCTTTTCACAAAATGGGGCTAGAAAAGAAGAGGCCTGATTCATTATGGGTTCAAGGAAATTGTCCAAAAACCACCATACCCATTTCAGTTCTGTACTATTTTCTTATTTGGCATCTGTTAACTTAAGCACACATACCAAAAGGTTTCTTTCTCAAGGATCTAATGATAAAACAAATTTCAATTGCAGCGCAACAGTTTCAATATATGGCATTTCCCATTTACTTCTGAAAAGCTAGCGGGTAGTCATCGTGTGAAAAAAAAAGGTGATTAAACTGCAGTTGATGTGGCACATTATTGATCTAGCTCGCACTTTATCTTTCCCTTCATTCACAAAAAGATTCCCATGGAGAAGTGAGATCAAAGGAGCTTTGATGCCACTGCTCACGTTCAGTTGCACCGCATAACCCAGTTACCGGAGTTTTACGACTACAGAGCACCCAGTCAAGGCTCCAAAAGTTCCTGAATAATTGACGGAGATGAGCTTTCACGGCACGTGGTTGTGCAAGCACACCAGCTCTCTCAGCTACAGCAAGCAAGTGTTCACATGTCTTTCGGCAGTGTGTGTATGTGTGTGAGAAGCTGTTGCTACCCAGGGACACACACCTTTCCATTCTCCATCTACTAGACAAACATGAGGCGTTATCACAGTTCAAGATCCCATTCCAGCAAGGAGGACATGGAGCAAGGACAGTGAAAGATATGTCCTAGGACGAGGAGGGTCCTGGAGGACCACATTCAGCTATCGGGCCTGAGATTCCTCACCCTTGTCTTTCATGATTAAACTGCCATTGCTCTCTTTCTAGCTGAATTTGCTCTGGTAACTGAAACCAACAGCTGCTAATCACGTATTTTTAAACCTCAGTTTTGACCAGAATTGGTGAGCTTTGAACTAGGGTTGTGCTCCAGATTCAGCCACAGCCCCAATCCTGAAATGAATTTGACTAATTCGAGCAGAACTGGGCTTTGGTCGAGTCAGGTCAAAGCAGTCCTGGATTGGGTTGCCCGGAACAATCTGGGCCTACCAGCTCCACCTCCCAAACCATTTCAGGTCTGGATTTGTGTCAGGTATGCAGAAAAATCTTGAGACTACTGTTCTTCAGAGTTTCTAGCTTCCCAAGTATCCCCCAAAACTTAACACTGGTGTCAGAAAGGTGTACAGATTCTGATGTGGCTATGAATTAGGCTAAAGGAGTTTTAAAAGGATTGTGTGTTGGAGGAGGGTTGGCCTAAATGCTTTACTAAAAGACACAAAAACCCCAGAAACATGATGTCAAAAGGAGAGAGAAAAATAATGGGGAAGGAAAAGAAAGCAAGGGTTCAAACAGCTGCTCCTTAACTGGCCAATAAGGTGGTACCATGCTGGTCCCCCCTTGACCCCCTTCCTGGGAGGCAAGGGTTAGAGCCTCCCAGAGGAACTTGGTCTTCTTGCTGCTGGCTAAGGCCAGATGATGATTCCTTTTGACTCTGTAGGCCCAGGGTGACTGGCAGAAGGAAGCCAAACCTGGAAACGACTGCTGCTTCTCAACTGCAGCAGAGAAGTGGTCTGTCTGAGCCACAACACTTGTCCTATGGATATCTCTTGCTTGTTACCTTCCAGATGTTTTGGAATATAGCTCCCATTAGCTTCAGTCAGCATGACCAATGGTCAGGTCTGATGGGAGTTGTGATCCAAAACATCTGGAGGTCACCAGGTTGGGGAAGGGCTCGTTAGGAGTAAAGTAGCACTCAAGGAGAGAAGATGGGAGATTAAAAGGGGGAAATGTTTTTTCCACTTCGCCCTGCCCCCTTCTGCAACCCACCCCCACATACATGTACAACCACTATACAAAATGCAAAATGCTGTGGGTTTGCATTTTAACACTCCCACCAACACCTTTTCTTTTTGACAGTGAGTTGTACGTAACTCTCTTACTCAATTATAATTGTTTTCCCTTAAGCAAAACCACATTTTTCTCAAAAAAGGAAAAAGAAAACAAAAAGAAGCAGCACCTTTCATGGGGTTCACTGAATCAATAAAATGGAAGATTATTAAGGATGCAACCCTACAACTCACTGACTTGAAAAAAACGCTCCACTCAACTCAACAGCCTTTACTTCAGAGTTGATCTGTATTTTTAAAGCACATTTAGGGTGTAAACCTGTGCCTTTCAGTAATTAAAACATGTGCTGCATCCTACCCATGCACTTCAAGAGAATGGAATAGAAAAGAAATATGTATGCCACCAACCTGAATTTTTGTGTAGTCCATATGAAAAGGCTGAGGAAGAGGTGCTTTCATTTCCAAGATACATCTCTCTATCAAGCTGGAATTTACTAGACTACCATGAAACAAAGACAACTGTGTTAAGGACACAGGCATAAACTTAACATTTTGACACAATGTGGAACTGTAGCCTAGACCATAATACCCTTCATATGTTTTTGGACATCAACTCCCATCATCCTGTGCCCAGCATGGCCAATGACAGGGGTGATGAAATGTGTAGTCTTTAACATCTGGAGGGCACCACATTGGCTACCCCTGGTCTAGACTGTTGGCATGTCTGAAGAATGTGTGAGACAACAGGTACTTCAAAGACAGTAACTCCCACCCTCAAAACTTTGCCCTCACACATATGTTACCTGGGTTCCTTGTCTTGCAAAAGCCTAGTGCACCTCCTTCCCTCCACTATGGAAAGGACAGTGTAAGTGGGTTCTCCATGTTAGCATGACAGGCTGGACATGCAAAGAAAAGCAATATCTCTCCCTCCAGAAACAAACAAAAATTGGGGGGGGGGTGGAGAAGACAGGACAAGTCACACAAACAGGATGTCTAAGTCAGGGGTGGAAAACTGCAGCCCTCCAGATGATGCAGGGCTGCAACTTGCAGGAGCCACAGCTAACATGGCCATTTATGATGGATGAGGGGACTTGTCCACAGGTTTCACACTCCGGCTTGAAGTGATTCGATGTTCAGCTGGAGGCTGCAGTTCACATTATGCCATCTGCCGGAGGGAGGAGAGGACAGCACTTCTACCCACTAGTGAGAGTCTTAGGTAAGACATGACTGGGAGCTAAAATAGCCCAGAATGACAGAATTTAGACTTTTTCCCTTTCCAGAAAAAAGCAGATGGAAGTAGGGGAAGTGGTGTGGGTTTTTGATCAGGAGCGTGAGGCAGGAAGAGACAATTAAATCAGTCCAAGCCCCACACTGATGTCCCAAACAAAACTGGTACCCTGCCTTCATCACAGCTCGTGATCATTCCCCAACCCAGTTAACCCTTCCTTAACCCGCAGGAATCTGGTAGTCTCCCATAAAAGTTTGTTTCAGTGATGTTTTGAAAGGTTCAGCCTGCCATCTTGATTCAAAATGGAATCCAGTTGTGTCCAAACAGACAAAAGTCTGTATGTGTACCTGAGGAAATGTCCACATACTTAGGGAACATTCTAGAAGATGGGGTAGGTTTAGCAGCAGCAGCCTATTTAAAAGTCTAATTTAAGCTAGGATCCTAATGATTCCACCTCTCATAGTCCTCACTCAAACGATGTTGACTCTCAAAAGGCTGTCCTACGCTTATTACAGAGAAGGGAAGTGCAATACACTGCAGTCAGGTGTGGGATGTTGTTTCCTTGGAGACAAACTGTAAGTTGCTACAGTTCAGCCAGGATGATAAAAATAGCAATACTCCTAGCATAAAGGCTTTAGGTCTTCTCACAAGTCTGTGCTCGGTGGTAGATTTGAACTGGGGACTTCAGAGCTATCAGCTCTTGGCATCTATCGCTATGTTATTAGCAGACTAAGCGACTAAGGTTTCTCTTGTCCCTCTTGAATAATGATGCTAATAGGGTAAAAATAAATGACAAGCACATTTCCCATACAACGCTTGTTTCACTGCCTATAAACACCTTAAGGATTTACACCAATGTATCTGCCAGTGCTTCCAAAGTACACTCTTTTGCAAGTGTTCCAGTTAGGATGACTTGTCTATGCTTGTAGCATGCAATCCAAAGACTTCATCGTCCACCGTAATAAAAAGACAAATTACCGCTTTGCTCAAAAGTCCAAGTAAAGTAAAAGTAGCTGAACTATAAAGAGATTTCAAATCTGCTCTACTTTCTGCAAAATGCTGTGGTTCTCCTGGTTCGATTTTAAAAGGATAACTTTGAATTCTCAGAATACTCAGCGGCTCGATCAATATCTGTAACAAAGGCTTTGGGTAGCGCTTGTCCCATTCAGTCTCTCGTCTGTGACCTCAATAGCTATTGATCTCTTACCTACTGAGAGCAGTTAGTGTCTGTGCTTGCTGAAGAGCAACGCCGGTGTCTTTGGGAGTGACAATCAGCAGGTTGTCCAGCAAGCCGCACACCGCTGACAGGAGAGGGGGAGTGACCACCGCACACTGATTGGGTCTGATGGTAGACTGCGGGGAGTCATGCGGACTTGAAGACGCCGTCGTCGTCGTGTCGCTCTGACCTACAACACACAATTTAGAGAAAGAACAAAACAAGCAGGTAGTGTTGCTACTTGGGAATGGATTTACACAAAACAAGGCGGCATATGTCTCATCGGACACGAGTTGAGGAGCTGAGCAGGAGAAAAGCCAGAGCTCAGTGGCAGAGCATCTGCCTCGCATGCAGAAGGTCCGAGATTCAATCCTCATCATGTCTAAGTAGGGCTGAGAGAGAACCCTATCTGAAAACCCTGGAGAGCTGCTGCGAGTCAGTGCACACAGTACTGAGCTAGATGACTCACTGGGTTTGACTTGGTATAAGGCAGCTTCCTATGTTCCCATCAGTTTCGTTTGAAATCATAGAAATGGAAATTATAGAACTGTAGAGTTGGAAGGGACCCTGAGGATCATCAAGTCCAACCCCCTGCAGTGCAAGAATATGCAGCTGTCCCATATGGGGATCAAACCTGCAACCTTGGCATCATCAGCACTATGCTCTAACCAACTGAACTATAACACATCATATGTGAAACGTCACACAAGACCTGTTGATGTGCTATTGAACTGAATGCCTCTCCTTTGGGATAAATATGAGCAGTCCAGGTTAGAGGCCACAGGAGTGCAGAGGACAGGGTCCTTGGCAACGAAGACTTTCCAAGATATGGGTGGGACGCAGTACAGTTTATAGCAAAGGTTCCCAATTTAAGGTCTTCAAGCTTCATTCAGGTGGTCCGCAGCATGTCCGCATCAAATAGTCACAGTGGTTTTAAACTGTATTTTTATTGCTTCCTTTATTTCTTACATTGTATTTTATTGCATTGCAATTTGAATTCTATGGCATGCAAATTGCTGTACAATAAAATACAATATGTAAGAAACAGAAAAAGCAATAAAAATACAATTAAAAATCATATAGCGTCTAGCACAGCACAATTGCTATAGACAGAAAAATTGTTAAGTGGTCCACCAAGGCCTTCAGCAATTTTTAAGTGGTCCATGGGGGGGACGGGGAAATTGGGGAATCACTCGGTTTAGAGCTCTTCAAAATTAAACTGTGCAATCTTGAGATATTTGAAGGAAGACCTGTGCATTCAGCTATTACCTTATCATCCTCTCCACAGCTTGAACACTGTGAGACTTGCAAAAGTGAGCAACAAGATGGGGCTGAGTGGAGGTTACTGTTAGGTAAAAGGTAAAGGTAAAGGTAGGGACGCAGGTGGCGCTGTGGGTTAAAGCCTCAGCACCTAGGACTTGCCGATCGAAAGGTCGGCGGTTCGAATCCCTGCGGCGGGGTGCGCTCCTGTCGTTCGGTCCCAGCGCCTGCCAACCTAGCAGTTCGAAAGCACCCCCGGGTGCAAGTAGATAAATAGGGACCGCTTACCAGCGGGAAGGTAAACGGCGTTCCGTGTGCTGCGCTGGCTCGCCAGATGCAGCTTGTCACGCTGGCCACGTGACCCGGAAGTGTCTGCGGACAGCGCTGGCTCCCGGCCTATAGAGTGAGATGAGCGCACACCCTAGAGTCTGGCAAGACTAGCCCGTACCGGGCAGGGGTACCTTTACCTTTACTTTTAAAGGTAAAGGTAAAGGATCCCTGGACGGTGCAGTCCAGTCAAAGGCGACTATGGGGTTACGGCACTCATCTCGCTTTCAGACCAAGGGAGCCGGCGTCTGTCCACAAACAGCTTTCTGGGTCATGTGGCCAGCATGACTAAACCATTTCTGGTGCAACGGGACACCGTGACAGAAACCAGAGCGGACGGAAATGCCATTTATCTTCCCGCCACAGCAGTACCTAGTTATCTTCTTGCACTGGCATGCTTAGAACTGCTAGGTTGGCAGGAGCTGGGACAGGGCAACAGGAGCTCACCCATTGCGGCGATTTGAACCGCCGACCTTCTAATTGGCAAACCCAAGAGGCTCAGTGGTTTAGACCATAGCGCCACCCATGTTCCTGTTAGGCTCCTGTTAGGAACGGGGTGGCAGGAAAGAGCCCCTGGCATGCATGCAAATAGCACTCTGCATCAGGACCATGGTTAGTGATTTGTTCCAAATGAATCATTTTCATTACATCTGCTTACCTTGCGCCATGAGCCGATTAAGTGGCACGTCGCAAATTCTAGCTATAGGTGGTGAGGTGGGCAGCTGCAGTTCCACAGCACAGCCTGGAGATGGCGATGAGGAAATGATCTAGGAAGCAGAACCAATAATTACATTGCCTCCTGTTAACAAATGTCCATATATATTCACAGAATCAGGGTTGGACCGGACCATGAGGGTCATATACTACAACCTCCTGCAATGCAGGAATCTCTTGCCCAACATAGGGATCGTACTCACAACCCTGAGATTGAGAGTCTCATGGGCAACTTTCATTTGCTGGAATCCAAAGAGCACCATGTGTGAACATAAAGAATTGATGCGGGGGGGGGGGGGAGGGAAGAACAAATCCAATTGTGTTCACTGATCTCTGAAATGCAGCCTAAATTTAAAGCAATTACCTCTATCACTTCAATGGTTAGGTATATAAAAATAGCTGGCTCTGCCCAGCTTGTGCTGTTAGTAATTTACATAATTAAAAACAGAAGGATGGGATATAATAAACTGGATTTTTTAGGCATTTTTAGTGAAAAGGACTTACTCCCAGAAAACATCACAGAGTTACAGAGTTCTTTATTCCTAAATTGTGCTACTTGGATGTTTTGGATTTTTAGAGTTCAAGGGGAACAAGGTCTTAAGATACATAAAAAATCAATAATAATTTCAGCTAGTTATAAAAATAAGTCTTGTTAGCTTCTTGCACCAGCTAAGCCTTTTCCAATAATGGCTTGCCAGTGGGACGGAGGCTGAACATAGAAATTTTCCAGTCTCTAAACCAGAACACTCACAATACACATGCAAATTCTTCACACCACTGGTGAATAAGAATTGCCTCCAGGCGAGCAGGTAGAAAGGATTTTGGAAACTGGGTAAAAGTTGGGTTTTTTTTGGGGGGGGGGGCTCTTGATACGTCATATATGACACAGCAGCCTGTCTATGGAAGATCAAGCTATTTGTGGACTTTTTTTTTTTACAAGACAGCAACACAGTTAACACATTTTCAGAGTGAACTATTTTTCAGGATGAAAGGGCCTTCCTCACATACCCTTCCTCACAGAATTACTGACAGTCATAGAAGCCACCGTAAGTCGTGCAATACTTCTATTATTACCTGGTGAAAACCTGTAACTTTCAATTTGTTAAAAGCAGAACAAAAACTAGGTAAAATAAATAAGATTAGAAACTGAAAAGGAAACGTGAGGAGGGGTTATGTGACAAAGTGCAGGTAACTTGCATCTTATGTGAGGTTCATGTTTCTGGCCATCACATGCATCAACAAAACCACATAAATCCACAAAGACCCCCAGAACAGCCCTCACATCCCAAGATCTGGCTGTTAAGTCCTCCAAGCTTGCTTACTGGGGTCTTAGGAAGCACATAGCTTCGCTTCTTCTCCCTTCCCTCATCCTTCCTCAATCTTTTGCCAGCTCCTGAAGCCTCTCCTCCACCAACTCCTGCTGCACTTTCTGTTCTCCCCCTGCAAACTTTTCTCTCTTTTAAAAGAACCTCTCTTTCCAAATTACCCCAACTGCCCCACTCCACTTTCTGGGTTTTCCGGTTCTCTTTCTTTAGAAAACCCAACTCAAAGGTAGCTGTTAAACCCTCCAGCTTGCTTACAGTACTGGATCTCTTAACAGGTCTCTCTCCTTGCTGCTGCTCAGCTGCTTCCTGTAGCTGCTGCTGCTGCCCCTCTCTCACCCTGAACAGAGGAGCCCAGTCCAGCCCCACAGAAAAGCAGAGAAGGAAGGTTGTAGGGAGAGGGGGCCTAGCTGCACCCAGACCACCCACCGGCCCTTCTTTTGGCCCACCCCACCTACTTTCTATTTTATTAATTGTTCCCAGCCAAGCACACAAAGCTGCGGTTGTGTAAGTGAAACAAGCAACAGAAACGTGTTACCTGGAAAATGGGGCCTCTGTTTTTCCAACAATCCAATTAAACAGTATTGAGCTCCCCTTACAGTGGTAACTTGTCATTTTAGAACTCACCACAGTGTCAGAGGTTGACTGCGAACTTGGAGATTGACTTTGAGTAGATACAACTCTCCAGAGAGAAAGTGAATCGTCAAAATCTGGAGGGGGCGGGGAAGAAGAGAGAAAAAGGCAGCCTTTTAAAACACCTTGTATCAGTAGTTCTCAAAGGGTGTGATGCACCACACTGGTGTAGCAGGAGATGATGGCAAGTGTGGCAAGGACAATCAAAGAAACATTTAAATATTTCAGTGTAGTATAGTATCTATCTATCTATGTCTATCTATCTATACATACACACAGAATATATAAGGCTATATTTTCAAAATCAAGCACTGCTACGAGTTGGGGTTTTTTGTTTGTTTTCCCGAAGAATTTCTTATCAATTAAAAAATCAAAGTGGCACAAGCAAATTTTTATTCTGAAAGTGTGGCCCAGAGAAAGAAGTTCAAGAACCACTATATTATATGCTCACCTCTTGCTTTGCTGGTGAATCCATTAGCAAAGAAAAATGACACTAATCCCTTTGTTTTTTTAAGAACAAAAGGGAAGAATCTCTCAAACATTCCACAAACTGCAAAACACAGATATTTTGCTGTAGAACAGGGTAGACAGAAGCCATTAGACAACATAGAGCTATGCTTCGGGGGTGGGTGAATACATATAGCATAAATCTATGTTGAAACTACATTGATTAGAGTGATTTTGCAAATTCTCTGTTCCATTTATTAATCAATATGACTAAAAAGTGTGACAAGTAAGCTGATGGGTTCCAGTTTGATCTTATGAAGTGATCAGGTTCTGGAGCCACAGAAAAGAACTAATCAATCAGTAACTGAGAACTTTCGAGTTCTTCTTCCCACTGCTTGCCTCCGCCAAGCTGCAATAAACTGTCCTGATTTTTGTTCACATCCAATTTTTGTGTTATGTTTCACAGCCATAAGGGCTAGAAATAGGCTTCCACATTTTTTGCTCACCATGGCAACTGTGCCCTCGACCAGCCTTCTTTTCAGCCTTAAAGCTTCAGAAAATGAGCAGAGATTATTCTGGACGTTGCACAACGAACCCTGCTTCCTCGCCAGCTCCGAGAGGAAGAAAGGTTGGAAGTGGTATCTGGAGCACCTCGGCCACAGAATAGCCACTCTGGCAACTCTTCACCCACTTCCTAGTAAGAAAGATGGTAGGGAGTTCCTTGGGCAGTGATGCTAAAGTACCTGAAATTCCCTGGCTGCAAATCTGTCAAATCAGGTCCAACCAATGCCAATTTTGTGGCTTGGCTAGCCAAAAATGGCTGACCCGTAGCTATAAAAACTTGTTGCTTGTTTTTAACAACAGAAATAAAATAAAATAAAATAAAATAATAAAATAAAATTTGACTGCAAGGCATTCCACATTGGAATTCAATATTTTTCCTTCTAACTCCTGGGGATGGGGGGAATTGAAGGGGGAAATAAATTTCAAGGAAGCACTGCTTTCTAATCTAGCTTCTTCCTCTCAGCTTTCCCCAATGCTTCAAAATCTTAAGTGCTGAAGCTCAACCGTGAATCAGGCATCATGAATCCTCACATAAATTCATCCTATGGGCCTTATTAAGGAATCAACACCCCCACTATTCTTTACAAGCACACGTCCCTGATATATTGATTTATGCAACAGCTCACTACTTCCCATCCCACCACAGTGGAAAGCAAGCTGTTTTTCAAACTGAGCAAAGCAGCAAAGCCAGAAGGCTCACGCTGCTGTTGCCCCACGTGACATAGCAAGAAAACCAGGGTCACCACCAAGTGGGCCCTCCACAGGGAGTTGCAGCCAGTCTGGTTCTCTGAAGAGCGTATCTGTAGGATACATATGTTCCCAAGCACCCACTTCGCTGCATTAGCATCTTCTATGTTTCAGCACATGGACTTCAAAAGTGTACCTATGAAGCAGACTTCATTCCCTATGGAGTGTTGGCAACGCTTTCTATGATCTGGAAGTAGCCTGTTTCGTTATCCCCAATATGGAATTATTCACAGGGCATCACTAAGACAACTGCTTAGAAACAGAAAAGTGAAATGCTTGCACAGTCATAACAACCCACGTACTGCCTTTTTCAAATTCTTGCCATTGTACTGGAGATTCATCCATCTTGATGTTCTAATTAGATTTCTGTTTTCTTTTTACATTTCTCCTACAGCCCATTATTTATCCTTCACGAAGGAAGGAATGGGCTATCTCTAATATGCTTCTTCCACCTCCGACTATGAACACATTTAAAAACCTCATAATTGCTTCTCGGATACTGAACCAGATGATGTGGTATTATATTTTCAAGAGACTGGCTGACTATTTTAACCTTTAGACACAAAAGGATAATACTTTTAGAAGACTCGCACAGAACAAAACAAAAAAATCACAAGAAGAAAATGTATTGAGAACACATGGAACCGCAACCGAAATTTAAACCAAATGAATTCTTTGAAGTGTCACTTACCATTTATGCTACTCTTTTTGGCTGCCTGGCTGCCTCCCAAGGAACAATGCAGATCAAATGTATATCGACCTAAGTAGCACTGTTTCACCATCTCATTCAAATGCTCGTAGAAGCGACAATGATATAACAGAGCCTGCAAGGCGGTTTTTCCCAGTGAGAGATAGACCAGATTCTTCATCATGCACACAAGGTCCCTGGCGGCAGGGGGTAACATATATAAAAATATATAGTCATTAAAAAGACCCTCATAACATTGATTCCCAACCAATGAGAATGAACACCTCTTCCGTCAGAGCGGGAAATAGTAAGGGTTGATGCCATGAATCCATGAAAATGCACAAAAGCATATACACAGAATTCATCTCTGAGAATCTCAGCTTCATTTTAAACAACAAAATTGCTGCCAACTTATGCCAGGAGAATTGGGACTCGGAGAAGCTGCTGAACAGGGTTTCAACTGGTCAGAGGTAGGACATTCCTTCTCGTTCTTACTCACGAAAGATTTGAGCATAATACTAACGTCTGGGGGAAATCACGCAAATCCTGCTAATTTATACAGTTTGCATAATTCTCCCCCGACACTCCTACCCTCACACCTGATCGTTTGTGGGGCTGAACACAGTGCAGGGTAAGAAAGAACTTCAATACTTGTTTGAGATGAAATGCAATCAGAATAAAAAATAAGTTTTATAACTCTGTGAAGTTCTTTTTAAGTAAACTTACATTACAAGATGGGAATCTACATGCAGAAGATGTCAGTAATGTGCATTCATTGACTCAAGCATGACAACTACCTACTCAGGGAATTCTGCTGACTTCTAAGCGTGATGACATTGAGTCAAAGTTTTTATATTCGGCCCCATTGATGCCAATTTACAATTTCTATGCCAAGCATTTCACAGCCACAGGGGTGTGCTAAAACCCACTGGAGTCAGTCACACTGTGGCATCTGAATATAGACTGCATTTTTAATCAAGGCATATATTGGCTTATATTTGATCAGGTTCCTAAATTAAATGGGCTTAGATTTTCAAATGTTTCATGCCAGGCAAGAAGGCCAGCTGTTTATAGAGAAAACCTGGGCCATTCTCCTAAGACAAGGGGCCCCCCCTTTTGATTGATAGCAGAAAGTAATTCTCAAAGTCGTAAAAGCTGGAATTACAAACTGAGTAATGACACTGACCCTACATGTTACAGAAGATAACAAAGGCAGAGATAAATATAATTAGGAATGAGTAAACAGTAAAATGATACCATGGGCCTCTCTTAAACTTGAGTCACAGGACAAAAGGTCAAGAGCACTTGGAAGAGAAAGCAACGGGCTGGAGAAGGGGGGGAGTATGAACAGGGGAACAGGCTTCTTTTAAAACGGTTTTTTTACTGTGTTCCTTTTTACTGAGTTCTTTACAAAGGCTTTATTCTTTTAAAGAAGCTACCTGTGTTGTGTATTAAATATGCTGGCTTAAATGTAACTATGCAAAGGATTTAGAAAGTAACAAATTTAGATGTTAGATTCTTATTTCATAGAATCATAGAGTCCTAGAGTTGGAATAGACCACAGGGGCCATTGAGTCCAGCCCCCTGCCAGAAATGAGACGCCAATCGAGCACTCATGACAAATGGCAGGCCTTTGTTTAAAGACCTCCAAAAGGAGATATTTCATTGATGATGCATGAGAATATGAACTCAAGATCCTTGACATATGTTTAAGATAAAAATTTAAGATTAACCATTTGTTTTAGAAGGCAATAGGGCAAGAGGTGAGCTGGTAATTAAGATTCCATGTAAGATATATTATTACTTATTTGTCATTTATATATAGCTCTTTGTCTCCCTTATAAGGACAGAAGGATATGAGTGTATTTTTGTGATTGGTTATAGCAATCAGCCAATAGGAATTTCAACCAGGCTGATGGGACAGAGGCAGCCCAAGGAGGAGCAAAGGGGGCTGGATTAAGGGAATATAAGTGCTGGCCATAATGGCAGGAGGCCAGGCCAGAGCTTGGTAATCATATACCACTGTGCCTCTCATTTATTTGTCTGACAAATAAATAATTATTTAATTTCTCTGTTGCTGCGTTGAATATTTCATTCCAGCTAAGCGTTAACCACAAGCAGGGTGCTACATTTTATGGTGCCTGCGACTCGGATCAGTGGTCTGCTGGAACGCAGCTCCTTCGCCTACTGAGCAGGGTACAAGACAGAGGATCACTCACTGCCTACTCAGCGCGCAATGGAAAAATTTTTCCAGGGGAACGCAGCAGTCTCGTCTGTCTGATACCCTGCCCACCGACGGCGACGGACCGGGGGGGACCAGAGAAATAAACAGGGAACCAGCTAAGGGTAAGTGCACTAAGGGGTTTTGGCCCTCCAATTAATTGGGGAGGAAGAGAAGTCCTGATCAAACTTCTGCGTCTCAGTAAAGGGGAACTGAGTACGCTAGGTGGCTGGGGTACATCAGATGGTGATCTGGTGTAGGGAAAAGGGAAGTTGGGAGGTAGTGTTGGGAGGTAGTGTGTGGTTAAAGTATCTAGCGCATTGCATGTGTGAGAAAGTACAATGTGTAGCTGACCTAAGTGTGGAGTGAGTGCTACTTCGTTTCCCAGTAAGGTGTGTGTGTGAGTGACTGAGTGGATACTTCACAGGGCCATACAATGGGAGTTGGGGGTTCAAAGGGGGGAAATATACCTCCTGAATGTATGTTAAATAATTTTAAGAAAGCCTTCTCAGGGGCATATGGAGTCAAAATGATGCCAGAGCGCTTGAGAACGTTATGTGAACTAGAGTGGCCAAAACAAAATACTGAATGGCCATCTCAAGGAACCTTTGATATAAATTTAGTAAGCAAACTTTGGTCTAACATCGCCAAAGAAACTGGAGGGTGCCCAGAACAATTTTCATATATAGATTCCTGGCTGAGCACATTAAATAAAAAATCCTCCATGGATAAGGGAATGCAAAGTCCAACGATGCAAATTATTGGCTGTAAAAGCCGAAGCTAGGAAAGGAATCTTGCCAAATAAACTCAAACCCATTTTTGAGGGACCAGAGGAAGAGGTGCTTCCACCTCCACCCTATGCTCCTCATCGAAGGGAGCCTAATTCGAACCCTCCACCAGTTGTAACCCCAAGGCAAGAAAGTGGAATGAATAATGGGGCTGGAGTCACAGAACTTGATTCCTTGATAGATTATGATAAATATCTTCAGGAGGCATTGGAGTCCTATAATGAAGCCCAAGCAGAAGTGGTTATTCCACCTGTGAGTCCCAGTAGAACTCCATCTACAGTCTCTTTTAGTGGAACAACTGATTGCCTACCCCAAACCCCTGTACATCTATTATTACAGAAGTTACAGGGAGACCCTAATCGGTCAGCAAACAATACAGCCAGGCGTATAGAGTTGCTAAAAGAACGCCTTGGGACAGATACCATCCCCTATGATTTGAGGCCCCTAGAGCAAAGCGAAGGGAAAGGTCACGTAGTAGCCCCTCTTAGAAGAGTATTTGATGCACTTGAGGAGCCTGTGCTGGTTAATGGGCAACCTGGACCAAGGCCACCTCGAACTTCGATCCTCCAGTATATTCCATTCACAACTACGGTCTGATGAATTGAAAAACACCCCATCTTTCGCAGAAAAACCTCAGGCTATGATGGACTTGGTGACTTCAATAGTAATAGTCCTACTTGGACAGGTTGTCGCCAGCTCCTGAATACTCTCTTCACCACTGAGGAAAGGAGAGACAAAATTGAAAAGGCACAGATATATTTGCGTGAGCAGGCCAGAGTGGGAAATATTTTTAATATTGACCGTCATCTCCAGGAAAACTTTCCCTTGGAAGATCCTAATTGGGATCCAAACAATGCAATTCACCTGGCCAGGCTTACCACCTACCGCCAGATGCTTGTGCAAGGTATCTGCAGGGCATGCCAGAAGCCCACTAATATGTCTAAAGTTTCAGGAGGGTAGATGTGTTACCCATAGCACTGTTTCGTGTTCAGTGCGCACCCACAAAAAGACTTAAGTTGTCACCTTTTGAGCTCCTGTATGGGAGGCCGCCCTCCTTTGTTCAGGATATTCCAACTGACCTCAAACAAATAGGAGACTATGAGACACAGGGACAAGTGCAATCTCTCTCCCGTGTTTTTGTCTCTCTCCCGTGTTTGTTTGTTGTTGTTGTTTTTATCTTAACAGGTGGACCCTCGAGCACACGCCGTGCAGCATTGCCTGCCGATTCATCAGCTCCAGGCTGGCATAGCATATAGGTGAAAGAGTGGAAACGTGATCCACTTGCACCTAAGTGGCGTGGACCTTACACCGTCTTGCTCTCTACTCTAACAGCGGTGAAGGTAGCTGAGGTGACCCCCTGGATTCATCACTCCCGTTTGAAGAAGTCCGAAGGCAGTTGGACGTGCAAAGGTGACCCCTCTAATCCTCTTAAACTGACTCTCTCCAAAAACCCCTGTATCTAGCCCTACCGGGAACGGCTAGGTCACGGGCAACATTAGACGACCGGCCTGCTGCAGCCACAAACCTGGAAGCTGGCTGACCTGCGCACGCCTGAAGCTTGAGGAGCGTCTGAACCAGAGACTGTGAGCGGGAAGATTCTCTTATACAATTGATTGACTGCCCCCTTGTGGAACAATTATCAGAGATATTACACATTGGGGATCCTTGGGATATATGTTTTGGTCTTGGTGGTTCCCCATTTCTGTCACTGGGGGAATTATATTGGGACTAATAGTTTTATGCTATCACAATAAGGTAATCTTTTGTGGAAGGAATGCATATGCTAGACATCAACGTGATTTTATTATTAATCCTGATCCCTTGGGAAGGGGAGGGTCCTTGAATCTGACCAAATTTGCTAAATATGGATTCAGCCATGACCACAATATGTGGGTAGGCTTAGCTGCGATGGTAGGCAATGTGGCAAATAGGACCAATTACCTTGTTTGCTCTCTTGGGCCAGATGATTTAGAGGGAGGTGTGCCCTTATTACCGATACCATTAGATGCCATTGGTATGGTAAGCGAAATGCCACACCAAACAGAAGTACAGAATTTCCCCGGATGGAACTCAACTAAATCATTACGAGTTATACCTGTACAAGGGGAATTCTGTGTACATAAATCATCAGATGCAGCTGATTCTCCCATGGTAGGCTCTTCTCATTGCCACTATACTTGGGATCATA